GACGTGGTCAGTGGCGTCTCCGCCGTCGGCGACACGGATGGGGACGCGATGGTGGCGGGCGACTCGGGCAGCAAGCACAACGGCGGCCGCAGCGCCACCGTGTGTGCCGTCAACAGCATGGTCTCGGAGGCTTCCGCGGCGACCGTGGCCGTGTTGGATGTGATCGGGGGCGTCTCCGCTGGCATGGTCACGAACGCGACGGTGGCATTCGGCTCGGGCAGCGAGCGCAACGACAGCGGCAGTCCGCACGCAGGTCGCCGCCGGTAGTAGCGTCAGCGGCGTCGCCAGCGACATCGACAGCAGGGTCTCGGACACGATGGAGGTGACCGTGGCCTTGGTGGACGTGGTCAGCGGCGTCTCCGCCGACATGGACACGGACGCGGACGCGATGGTGGCGGGCGACTCGGGCAGCAAGCACAACGGCGGCCGCAGCGCCACCGTGTGTGCCGTCAACAGCATGGTCTCGGAGGCTTCCGCGGCGACCGTGGCCGTGTTGGATGTGATCGGGGGCGTCTCCGCTGGCATGGTCACGAACGCGACGGTGGCATTCGGCTCGGGCAGCGAGCGCAACGACAGCGGCAGTCCGCACGCAGGTTGCCGCCGGTAGTAGCGTCAGCGGCGTCGCCAGCGACATCGACAGCAGGGTCTCGGACACGATGGAGGTGACCGTGGCCTTGGTGGACGTGGTCAGCGGCGTCTCCGCCGACATGGACACGGACGCGGACGCGATGGTGGCGGGCGACTCGGGCAGCAAGCACAACGGCGGCCGCAGCGCCGCCGTGTGTGCCGTCAACAGCATGGTCTCGGAGGCTTCCGCGGCGACCGTGGCCGTGTTGGATGTGATCGGGGGCGTCTCCGCTGGCATGGTCACGAACGCGACGGTGGCATGGTCACGAACGCGACGGTGGCATGGTCACGAACGCGACGGTGGCATTCGGCTCGGGCAGCGAGCGCAACGACAGCGGCAGTCCGCACGCAGGTTGCCGCCGGTAGTAGCGTCAGCGGCGTCGCCAGCGACATCGACAGCAGGGTCTCGGACACGATGGAGGTGACCGTGGCCTTGGTGGACGTGGTCAGCGGCGTCTCCGCCGACATGGACACGGACGCGGACGCGATGGTGGCGGGCGACTCGGGCAGCAAGCACAACGGCGGCCGCAGCGCCGCCGTGTGTGCCGTCAACAGCATGGTCTCGGAGGCTTCCGCGGCGACCGTGGCCGTGTTGGATGTGATCGGGGGCGTCTCCACTGGCATGGTCACGAACGCGACGGTGGCATGGTCACGAACGCGACGGTGGCATTCGGCTCGGGCAGCGAGCGCAACGACAGCGGCAGTCCGCACGCAGGTTGCCGCCGGTAGTAGCGTCAGCGGCGTCGCCAGCGACATCGACAGCAGGGTCTCGGACACGATGGAGGTGACCGTGGCCTTGGTGGACGTGGTCAGCGGCGTCTCCGCCGACATGGACACGGACGCGGACGCGGACGCGATGGTGGCGGGCGACTCGGGCAGCAAGCACAACGGCGGCCGCAGCGCCGCCGTGTGTGCCGTCAACAGCATGGTCTCGGAGGCTTCCGCCGCGACCGTGGCCGTGTTGGATGTGATCGGGGGCGTCTCCACTGGCATGGTCACGAACGCGACGGTGGCATTCGGCTCGGGCAGCGAGCGCAACGACAGCGGCAGTCCGCACGCAGGTTGCCGCCGGTAGTAGCGTCAGCGGCGTCGCCAGCGACATCGACAGCAGGGTCTCGGACACGATGGAGGTGACCGTGGCCTTGGTGGACGTGGTCAGCGGCGTCTCCGCCGACATGGACACGGACGCGGACGCGGACGCGATGGTGGCGGGCGACTCGGGCAGCAAGCACAACGGCGGCCGCAGCGCCGCCGTGTGTGCCGTCAACAGCATGGTCTCGGAGGCTTCCGCGGCGACCGTGGCCGTGTTGGATGTGATCGGGGGCGTCTCCGCTGGCATGGTCACGAACGCGACGGTGGCATGGTCACGAACGCGACGGTGGCATTCGGCTCGGGCAGCGAGCGCAACGACAGCGGCAGTCCGCACGCAGGTTGCCGCCGGTAGTAGCGTCAGCGGCGTCGCCAGCGACATCGACAGCAGGGTCTCGGACACGATGGAGGTGACCGTGGCCTTGGTGGACGTGGTCAGCGGCGTCTCCGCCGACATGGACACGGACACGGACGCGGACGCGATGGTGGCGGGCGACTCGGGCAGCAAGCACAACGGCGGCCGCAGCGCCGCCGTGTGTGCCGTCAACAGCATGGTCTCGGAGGCTTCCGCGGCGACCGTGGCCGTGTTGGATGTGATCGGGGGCGTCTCCACTGGCATGGTCACGAACGCGACGGTGGCATGGTCACGAACGCGACGGTGGCATTCGGCTCGGGCAGCGAGCGCAACGACAGCGGCAGTCCGCACGCAGGTTGCCGCCGGTAGTAGCGTCAGCGGCGTCGCCAGCGACATCGACAGCAGGGTCTCGGACACGATGGAGGTGACCGTGGCCTTGGTGGACGTGGTCAGCGGCGTCTCCGCCGACATGGACACGGACACGGACGCGGACGCGATGGTGGCGGGCGACTCGGGCAGCAAGCACAACGGCGGCCGCAGCGCCGCCGTGTGTGCCGTCAACAGCATGGTCTCGGAGGCTTCCGCGGCGACCGTGGCCGTGTTGGATGTGATCGGGGGCGTCTCCACTGGCATGGTCACGAACGCGACGGTGGCATGGTCACGAACGCGACGGTGGCATTCGGCTCGGGCAGCGAGCGCAACGACAGCGGCAGTCCGCACGCAGGTTGCCGCCGGTAGTAGCGTCAGCGGCGTCGCCAGCGACATCGACAGCAGGGTCTCGGACACGATGGAGGTGACCGTGGCCTTGGTGGACGTGGTCAGCGGCGTCTCCGCCGACATGGACACGGACACGGACGCGGACGCGATGGTGGCGGGCGACTCGGGCAGCAAGCACAACGGCGGCCGCAGCGCCGCCGTGTGTGCCGTCAACAGCATGGTCTCGGAGGCTTCCGCGGCGACCGTGGCCGTGTTGGATGTGATCGGGGGCGTCTCCACTGGCATGGTCACGAACGCGACGGTGGCATGGTCACGAACGCGACGGTGGCATTCGGCTCGGGCAGCGAGCGCAACGACAGCGGCAGTCCGCACGCAGGTTGCCGCCGGTAGTAGCGTCAGCGGCGTCGCCAGCGACATCGACAGCAGGGTCTCGGACACGATGGAGGTGACCGTGGCCTTGGTGGACGTGGTCAGCGGCGTCTCCGCCGACATGGACACGGACGCGGACGCGATGGTGGCGGGCGACTCGGGCAGCAAGCACAACGGCGGCCGCAGCGCCGCCGTGTGTGCCGTCAACAGCATGGTCTCGGAGGCTTCCGCGGCGACCGTGGCCGTGTTGGATGTGATCGGGGGCGTCTCCTCTGGCATGGTCACGAACGCGACGGTGGCATTCGGCTCGGGCAGCGAGCGCAACGACAGCGGCAGTCCGCACGCAGGTTGCCGCCGGTAGTAGCGTCAGCGGCGTCGCCAGCGACATCGACAGCAGGGTCTCGGACACGATGGAGGTGACCGTGGCCTTGGTGGACGTGGTCAGCGGCGTCTCCGCCGACATGGACACGGACGCGGACGCGATGGTGGCGGGCGACTCGGGCAGCAAGCACAACGGCGGCCGCAGCGCCGCCGTGTGTGCCGTCAACAGCATGGTCTCGGAGGCTTCCGCGGCGACCGTGGCCGTGTTGGATGTGATCGGGGGCGTCTCCACTGGCATGGTCACGAACGCGACGGTGGCATGGTCACGAACGCGACGGTGGCATTCGGCTCGGGCAGCGAGCGCAACGACAGCGGCAGTCCGCACGCAGGTTGCCGCCGGTAGTAGCGTCAGCGGCGTCGCCAGCGACATCGACAGCAGGGTCTCGGACACGATGGAGGTGACCGTGGCCTTGGTGGACGTGGTCAGCGGCGTCTCCGCCGACATGGACACGGACGCGGACGCGATGGTGGCGGGCGACTCGGGCAGCAAGCACAACGGCGGCCGCAGCGCCGCCGTGTGTGCCGTCAACAGCATGGTCTCGGAGGCTTCCGCGGCGACCGTGGCCGTGTTGGATGTGATCGGGGGCGTCTCCTCTGGCATGGTCACGAACGCGACGGTGGCATGGTCACGAACGCGACGGTGGCATTCGGCTCGGGCAGCGAGCGCAACGACAGCGGCAGTCCGCACGCAGGTTGCCGCCGGTAGTAGCGTCAGCGGCGTCGCCAGCGACATCGACAGCAGGGTCTCGGACACGATGGAGGTGACCGTGGCCTTGGTGGACGTGGTCAGCGGCGTCTCCGCCGACATGGACACGGACACGGACGCGATGGTGGCGGGCGACTCGGGCAGCAAGCACAACGGCGGCCGCAGCGCCGCCGTGTGTGCCGTCAACAGCATGGTCTCGGAGGCTTCCGCGGCGACCGTGGCCGTGTTGGATGTGATCGGGGGCGTCTCCACTGGCATGGTCACGAACACGACGGTGGCATGGTCACGAACGCGACGGTGGCATTCGGCTCGGGCAGCGAGCGCAACGACAGCGGCAGTCCGCACGCAGGTTGCCGCCGGTAGTAGCGTCAGCGGCGTCGCCAGCGACATCGACAGCAGGGTCTCGGACACGATGGAGGTGACCGTGGCCTTGGTGGACGTGGTCAGCGGCGTCTCCGCCGACATGGACACGGACACGGACGCGATGGTGGCGGGCGACTCGGGCAGCAAGCACAACGGCGGCCGCAGCGCCGCCGTGTGTGCCGTCAACAGCATGGTCTCGGAGGCTTCCGCGGCGACCGTGGCCGTGTTGGATGTGATCGGGGGCGTCTCCACTGGCATGGTCACGAACGCGACGGTGGCATGGTCACGAACGCGACGGTGGCATTCGGCTCGGGCAGCGAGCGCAACGACAGCGGCAGTCCGCACGCAGGTTGCCGCCGGTAGTAGCGTCAGCGGCGTCGCCAGCGACATCGACAGCTGGGTCTCGGACACGATGGAGGTGACCGTGGCCTTGGTGGACGTGGTCAGCGGCGTCTCCGCCGACATGGACACGGACGCGGACGCGATGGTGGCGGGCGACTCGGGCAGCAAGCACAACGGCGGCCGCAGCGCCGCCGTGTGTGCCGTCAACAGCATGGTCTCGGAGGCTTCCGCGGCGACCGTGGCCGTGTTGGATGTGATCGGGGGCGTCTCCGCTGGCATGGTCACGAACGCGACGGTGGCATTCGGCTCGGGCAGCGAGCGCAACGACAGCGGCAGTCCGCACGCAGGTTGCCGCCGGTAGTAGCGTCAGCGGCGTCGCCAGCGACATCGACAGCAGGGTCTCGGACACGATGGAGGTGACCGTGGCCTTGGTGGACGTGGTCAGCGGCGTCTCCGCCGACATGGACACGGACGCGGACGCGATGGTGGCGGGCGACTCGGGCAGCAAGCACAACGGCGGCCGCAGCGCCGCCGTGTGTGCCGTCAACAGCATGGTCTCGGAGGCTTCCGCGGCGACCGTGGCCGTGTTGGATGTGATCGGGGGCGTCTCCGCTGGCATGGTCACGAACGCGACGGTGGCATTCGGCTCGGGCAGCGAGCGCAACGACAGCGGCAGTCCGCACGCAGGTTGCCGCCGGTAGTAGCGTCAGCGGCGTCGCCAGCGACATCAACAGCAGGGTCTCGGACACGATGGAGGTGACCGTGGCCTTGGTGGACGTGGTCAGCGGCGTCTCCGCCGACATGGACACGGACGCGGACGCGATGGTGGCGGGCGACTCGGGCAGCAAGCACAACGGCGGCCGCAGCGCCGCCGTGTGTGCCGTCAACGGCATGGTCTCGGAGGCTTCCGCGGCGACCGTGGCCGTGTTGGATGTGATCGGGGGCGTCTCCGCTGGCATGGTCACGAACGCGACGGTGGCATTCGGCTCGGGCAGCGAGCGCAACGACAGCGGCAGTCCGCACGCAGGTTGCCGCCGGTAGTAGCGTCAGCGGCGTCGCCAGCGACATCGACAGCAGGGTCTCGGACACGATGGAGGTGACCGTGGCCTTGGTGGACGTGGTCAGCGGCGTCTCCGCCGACATGGACACGGACGCGGACGCGATGGTGGCGGGCGACTCGGGCAGCAAGCACAACGGCAGCCGCAGCGCCGCCGTGTGTGCCGTCAACAGCATGGTCTCGGAGGCTTCCGCGGCGACCGTGGCCGTGTTGGATGTGATCGGGGGCGTCTCCGCTGGCATGGTCACGAACGCGACGGTGGCATTCGGCTCGGGCAGCGAGCGCAACGACAGCGGCAGTCCGCACGCAGGTTGCCGCCGGTAGTAGCGTCAACGGCGTCGCCAGCGACATCGACAGCAGGGTCTCGGACACGATGGAGGTGACCGTGGCCTTGGTGGACGTGGTCAGCGGCGTCTCCGCCGACATGGACACGGACGCGGACGCGATGGTGGCGGGCGACTCGGGCAGCAAGCACAACGGCGGCCGCAGCGCCGCCGTGTGTGCCGTCAACAGCATGGTCTCGGAGGCTTCCGCGGCGACCGTGGCCGTGTTGGATGTGATCGGGGGCGTCTCCGCTGGCATGGTCACGAACGCGACGGTGGCATTCGGCTCGGGCAGCGAGCGCAACGACAGCGGCAGTCCGCACGCAGGTTGCCGCCGGTAGTAGCGTCAACGGCGTCGCCAGCGACATCGACAGCAGGGTCTCGGACACGATGGAGGTGACCGTGGCCTTGGTGGACGTGGTCAGCGGCGTCTCCGCCGACATGGACACGGACGCGGACGCGATGGTGGCGGGCGACTCGGGCAGCAAGCACAACGGCGGCCGCAGCGCCGCCGTGTGTGCCGCCAACAGCATGGTCTCGGAGGCTTCCGCGGCGACCGTGGCCGTGTTGGATGTGATCGGGGGCGTCTCCGCTGGCATGGTCACGAACGCGACGGTGGCATTCGGCTCGGGCAGCGAGCGCAACGACAGCGGCAGTCCGCACGCAGGTTGCCGCCGGTAGTAGCGTCAACGGCGTCGCCAGCGACATCGACAGCAGGGTCTCGGACACGATGGAGGTGACCGTGGCCTTGGTGGACGTGGTCAGCGGCGTCTCCGCCGACATGGACACGGACGCGGACGCGATGGTGGCGGGCGACTCGGGCAGCAAGCACAACGGCGGCCGCAGCGCCGCCGTGTGTGCCGCCAACAGCATGGTCTCGGAGGCTTCCGCGGCGACCGTGGCCGTGTTGGATGTGATCGGGGGCGTCTCCGTTGGCATGGTCACGAACGCGACGGTGGCATTCGGCTCGGGCAGCGAGCGCAACGACAGCGGCAGTCCGCACGCAGGTTGCCGCCGGTAGTAGCGTCAACGGCGTCGCCAGCGACATCGACAGCAGGGTCTCGGACACGATGGAGGTGACCGTGGCCTTGGTGGACGTGGTCAGCGGCGTCTCCGCCGACATGGACACGGACGCGGACGCGATGGTGGCGGGCGACTCGGGCAGCAAGCACAACGGCGGCCGCAGCGCCGCCGTGTGTGCCGTCAACAGCATGGTCTCGGAGGCTTCCGCGGCGACCGTGGCCGTGTTGGATGTGATCGGGGGCGTCTCCGCTGGCATGGTCACGAACGCGACGGTGGCATTCGGCTCGGGCAGCGAGCGCAACGACAGCGGCAGTCCGCACGCAGGTTGCCGCCGGTAGTAGCGTCAGCGGCGTCGCCAGCGACATCGACAGCAGGGTCTCGGACACGATGGAGGTGACCGTGGCCTTGGTGGACGTGATCAGCGGCGTCTCTGCCGACATGGACACGGACGCGGACGCGATGGTGGCGGGCGACTCGGGCAGCAAGCACAACGGCGGCCGCAGCGCCGCCGTGTGTGCCGTCAACAGCATGGTCTCGGAGGCTTCCGCGGCGACCGTGGCCGTGTTGGATGTGATCGGGGGCGTCTCCGCTGGCATGGTCACGAACGCGACGGTGGCATTCGGCTCGGGCAGCGAGCGCAACGACAGCGGCAGTCCGCACGCAGGTTGCCGCCGGTAGTAGCGTCAACGGCGTCGCCAGCGACATCGACAGCAGGGTCTCGGACACGATGGAGGTGACCGTGGCCTTGGTGGACGTGGTCAGCGGCGTCTCCGCCGACATGGACACGGACGCGGACGCGATGGTGGCGGGCGACTCGGGCAGCAAGCACAACGGCGGCCGCAGCGCCGCCGTGTGTGCCGTCAACAGCATGGTCTCGGAGGCTTCCGCGGCGACCGTGGCCGTGTTGGATGTGATCGGGGGCGTCTCCGCTGGCATGGTCACGAACGCGACGGTGGCATTCGGCTCGGGCAGCGAGCGCAACGACAGCGGCAGTCCGCACGCAGGTTGCCGCCGGTAGTAGCGTCAGCGGCGTCGCCAGCGACATCGACAGCAGGGTCTCGGACACGATGGAGGTGACCGTGGCCTTGGTGGACGTGGTCAGCGGCGTCTCCGCCGACATGGACACGGACGCGGACGCGATGGTGGCGGGCGACTCGGGCAGCAAGCACAACGGCGGCCGCAGCGCCGCCGTGTGTGCCGTCAACAGCATGGTCTCGGAGGCTTCCGCGGCGACCGTGGCCGTGTTGGATGTGATCGGGGGCGTCTCCGCTGGCATGGTCACGAACGCGACGGTGGCATTCGGCTCGGGCAGCGAGCGCAACGACAGCGGCAGTCCGCACGCAGGTTGCCGCCGGTAGTAGCGTCAACGGCGTCGCCAGCGACATCGACAGCAGGGTCTCGGACACGATGGAGGTGACCGTGGCCTTGGTGGACGTGGTCAGCGGCGTCTCCGCCGACATGGACACGGACGCGGACGCGATGGTGGCGGGCGACTCGGGCAGCAAGCACAACGGCGGCCGCAGCGCCGCCGTGTGTGCCGTCAACAGCATGGTCTCGGAGGCTTCCGCGGCGACCGTGGCCGTGTTGGATGTGATCGGGGGCGTCTCCGCTGGCATGGTCACGAACGCGACGGTGGCATTCGGCTCGGGCAGCGAGCGCAACGACAGCGGCAGTCCGCACGCAGGTTGCCGCCGGTAGTAGCGTCAACGGCGTCGCCAGCGACATCGACAGCAGGGTCTCGGACACGATGGAGGTGACCGTGGCCTTGGTGGACGTGGTCAGCGGCGTCTCCGCCGACATGGACACGGACGCGGACGCGATGGTGGCGGGCGACTCGGGCAGCAAGCACAACGGCGGCCGCAGCGCCGCTGTGTGTGCCGTCAACGGCATGGTCTCGGAGGCTTCCGCGGCGACCGTGGCCGTGTTGGATGTGATCGGGGGCGTCTCCGCTGGCATGGTCACGAACGCGACGGTGGCATTCGGCTCGGGCAGCGAGCGCAACGACAGCGGCAGTCCGCACGCAGGTTGCCGCCGGTAGTAGCGTCAACGGCGTCGCCAGCGACATCGACAGCAGGGTCTCGGACACGATGGAGGTGACCGTGGCCTTGGTGGACGTGGTCAGCGGCGTCTCCGCCGACATGGACACGGACGCGGACGCGATGGTGGCGGGCGACTCGGGCAGCAAGCACAACGGCGGCCGCAGCGCCGCCGTGTGTGCCGTCAACAGCATGGTCTCGGAGGCTTCCGCGGCGACCGTGGCCGTGTTGGATGTGATCGGGGGCGTCTCCGCTGGCATGGTCACGAACGCGACGGTGGCATTCGGCTCGGGCAGCGAGCGCAACGACAGCGGCAGTCCGCACGCAGGTTGCCGCCGGTAGTAGCGTCAACGGCGTCGCCAGCGACATCGACAACAGGGTCTCGGACACGATGGAGGTGACCGTGGCCTTGGTGGACGTGGTCAGCGGCGTCTCCGCCGACATGGACACGGACGCGGACGCGATGGTGGCGGGCGACTCGGGCAGCAAGCACAACGGCGGCCGCAGCGCCGCCGTGTGTGCCGTCAACAGCATGGTCTCGGGGGCTTCCGCGGCGACCGTGGCCGTGTTGGATGTGATCGGGGGCGTCTCCGCTGGCATGGTCACGAACGCGACGGTGGCATTCGGCTCGGGCAGCGAGCGCAACGACAGCGGCAGTCCGCACGCAGGTTGCCGCCGGTAGTAGCGTCAGCGGCGTCGCCAGCGACATCGACAGCAGGGTCTCGGACTGAGCTTCGATCTCAAGTTGGGGTGGTGGCGGCGAACAAGCTAATAAGCTGGGCTGTGTCGGCAGCCGCATTGGTGTGATTCGGCCTTGAGAGACTTGAGGTAGAGTGCTCAGTTTAGTAATTTTGATAAATACATCTGGTCGTCCGGTGCCGGTTCGTTTTTTGAGCAAAATCGGGCGTCTGGTATTTTAGCTCCGGTAGGGTGTATCCCTCTACAAAACAAATTCGGTATGCAGCCTGATGTAAAAACATAATTCTAGACAACAGCACTCTCAACAATGTCGGCTTTAACGACAAGTTCAAATGCTTGTAGCTGCTCAAGTTGACTGGTGACTTCGTTGATAGAAGCCAGCGCCTCCTCGTCGTCTTCTAGCTCGTAGCTAGAAGGATCGTCCCCAGCTCCCGTTAGACCGCACTTTCTAAAGACCGCCGATATGGTAGTTGCGGAAAGCGCTTCCCATGCGGACACCACCCATTTCACGATAGTCGAGCGCTGAGGCGCTGACATTGTGAACTTCTCGGTGCTGTTGCTCGCGGTGTAGAGCTTTAGTTGGTCTCGCAGAAACGTTACCCAGGCGGCACGCAAGCGGTCCTTGAGAGACTTGATCCAAACAGCATCCGCGGTCTGGCTTAGCCACGTAAGTCCGGGAGGCACCTTCTGCAGCACTACGTTTAGCGAGCTGCATACTCGACCACACCATCAACCCAATGACCGCTGAAATCATCGAGGAGTAGCATAACAGGAGAGCTCAATGGGTCGCGGTGGCCAAAATGAAATCGCAGGAACTCGAAAGTCATGTCCCCCGTCCACCAGGCAGCCTCGTTTCCGTAAATCTGGACGTCGTGTTCTTGTTAAAGAGCTTCAATTTCTTTCCACACGTGGCGACCAAATCCGTGACGGATACGCGCGTTTTCAGCGTGCACCTCCGGCACCTTCGACGGCTTCGACTTCAACATGAGGAACGGGGTGTACCTGTTGCCTTCTGAGTCGCACAAAACCATGGCGGTAATGCGCTCTTTGTCTTTCTTGCAGCTCTTCACCCAGACCGTTCTAGAGCCCGTTGGCGCGAGCGTCGTTCGCGGCAGCATCTCAAAGAAAATGCCTGTCTGGTCCGCATTGTGATGCCCTCCACGTACGCCTTGTGGCGAACCTCTCTAGCAAAAGCAGCAGCACGTAACGCTGCCGCAGGAGGCGTCTCCTGGCCAAAATGGGTTCGAGCGCGGAACGAGAGCCTATGGCGACGCGTGAACCCTCGGCGCCATTTCCACGATGCCGCAAAATGGTCCGGTGGGATACCAGCAGCTTGTGCTATCTCCAACGCCTGCAGCTTCAGCATGAGAGCTGAAATCGGGAGCCCTTCACACCGGAAGTCATTGACCCACTTGACGATACGCTGCTCAACCTCGCTAGGAAGGGTCAAGCCCATCCCGGAAGCACGACCACGGAATTGGGACGCCAACCGGTCAATTTGCGCGCGCTCTTCAAGGGCACACCGCATGCCAAGCCACTTGTAGACTAGCTTTGCTTTGTTGGTCCGCTTTGCCTCGCTCATGCCGTCGAAGAACCGGTCCAGAGTTGCCCTCATGCTGCCTGAAGCCTCAAAGTGCTGGATGACTTGAATCTTGAGCTCGACAGTGTACGTCTGCCGTTGGTATTGCCGGCGTCTGCGGCCGTCGTCATGAATTCGGCGTCGTCCCCTTCGCATTGGAAAGAGCAAATTGAGTTGTGGCAATTGATGCGCAGCCTAAATGCCAAATCAAAGGGTAGAAATGGTTGGTCGAGCTAGTACGCTCAGACTAGTGGTGGGCAACAATCTTGCCAACGTGGAATGCGAGAATGGCTGGTGTATAGTGTCTCAATGGCCTTGCAACCCTCAGAGATCACAAATGTCCTAAAATAGTCTTAAACTAGGATATCTGTAGTAAGTGCCTAAAAACTGCCTAAAATGGCTATCTGCAGGTATGGTGCCCTTTCCACGATACCCGCCTATGACATTTAGCCCCCTTTGACATGAGCATTCCAGTACTATTATTGTGGGAACCGATTAGATTGTCTAATTGGAATATAAATCGGCTGGTTAAGCAGATGATTAAGCTTAATCGGGTCGGATTTACTAAATCCGACCTCCTAATTAGATCGACAGCCTAAGCTTTGCACTCCGATTTGACAGAGCAGTCTGTTGTGCCTACAACGCCATGTGGCAAGCTGATTTAGCTGCTCAGTGGCTTACAAAGCTCTGGACGACTGATTTGCATGCTAATCAGCCCGAATGTCCGACACCCACTCGGCATTCGGCGGCGGATTTAAGGTAAAACCGACAAACGCTAATGCTGACGAGAAATGACAGCGCAAATATATGGCTTCACAACTTGATAAATAGATAGCAGTACACGTCGACTGCTCACAGAGAAGTATTTAATGCACGCGATGCTATTGCTCGTTAGTAGGAGCGCGAAACAGTCAGCTCGTGGTGGTAAGTGGTCGTTCCGCGTATTGCTGGCGGGTAATGAGGCAATCCCTATTTTACTAACGCTACACTGATTTATACCCTTACCAATGACATATGCAATTATAAGGATCCCCGATTTAGTACCAGTCAAATCTCTCATGAACGCTGCCTTATCAGCTAATCCGCTCGGACAATCTAATCGGTTTCCACAATAGAGGGTGGGGTACTATTGTAAATCCTCATCCAAGGTGATCAAAAATGAGAGGTGGGGTACTATTTGAGGGTGGGGCTCAATTAGAGGAGGTTTTACAGTAGTTTATCGGAATCAAAACCGCAGCAGAAACATGCAGGAGAAATGATGCTACAAATTGCCCAAAACAGTATTCTAAATGGGAGAAATTTCCCCAAAAAGACATTTTGGGCAAAACATCAACTTCGGGCAAAAAGGCAAATTGACCCCCCGCGTGCACGAAGTGCTTGCCCAGGCATCATCAACATGGCCACCACCCCTTCCGACGCAGCAGTGCGTGTATTCTCCAACCGCCCTTTCGCTTTAGCACTAGCCTAACCTGCAACTCCTCCTTCCTGTTGCGGCAGCAGTTCGACGCGCTGCTGGACGGCGGCGACGCGCCCATCACCTCGGACTACGAGCGCTGGCGCGAGCTCAAGCGGCTCGTGATCGTGCACGGCTTGCCCCGGGACGAGGGCTCGACCCCGAGCCTGTGCACGCTTCGAGGGCGCGTGTGGAAGGCCTTTCTAGGGGTGGAGAGCGACGTGGACATGACCAAGTACGCGGCGCTGGTGGGGCGGGGCGCCTCGCACTACGACGGCGACATCCGCAACGACACGTTCCGCACGTTCCGGGGCGACTCGGAGTTTGCGCAGCGCGTGCCCGAGGAGAAGCTGGTGCGACTACTGAATGTGTTTATCAACGAGCTGGGCTCGAACCCGGACGGGGAGGAGACGAAAGAGGACGGCGAACTCGGAGGCAACTTGCCGTCGATAAGGTACGCACCTTTTGGTTGGGGTGGGTGGTAAACATAATGGGTTTTAATTTTTTGCGGTGGGTTTTATTGTAGATATGTGCAGGGCATGAATGTGTTATGTGCGCCGTTGCTGTATGTGCTGCCCGAAGCAGACGCGTACCATACCTTTTGCCAGTTGATTGTGAGGCATTGCCCGCACTACATGGCCCCGCAACTGAAAGGGGTTGAGAAGGGATGCGCACTCGTGGACAAGTGTCTGCAGACGGTGGGGAAAAGTGTTTTGCCAGTGGCTATTTTTGTTGCTGTTTTGGACTGACGTGCAGTTTTGTTTTTGTTGTGGTGTGAAGCTGGACCCGGATCTGTATCGGCATTTGTCGACTCGAGGCATCACGGCGCGGATATACGCACTGCCGCTAATTTTGAGTCTGTTTGCGTGTGTGCCGCCCCTGCATGAACTTTTGCGAGTCTGGGATGTGGTAAGCTATGCGGCGAAACTTCGACGAAGTATTTGGTGCCTGGTGTTCGTTCTAATACGCGCTTCTACAGCTATTTGCAGTGGGCGTCCATTTTGTCGTTGTGCTGGCCGTCGCCCATACTGTATTACTTCGGGAACAGCTACTGAAATTGTGGGTTCTGTCATTTTGTTTGCATGCCACGAGCTAGAACTAACCTATTGTTGGTGTACTACGCAGAGATATGGACTTGATGAAGGTGCTAAGTCTTCGTTGCGCGCCTCCGCTGCAATCGGACCTGCTCATTTCCGTCGCCCTCCAACTGCTCCATCGCCTGCCCGAAGACCTTCTCTACGAGATCGCTAGGCATCCTTTCGCGAACCCAGACGCGCCAACTAGTTTGCCATTCCACCCCAAGACCATCTCAGCCATCGCGACACAGATCCGGAAGCAGAAAGAGCAGCAAACAAGCGCCTCCACCCACACGCCGCGTGCCTCGACAGCAAAAAACAATTTGGGCGCCGATACTCGTGTAGCTAGAACAGGAACTCCACGCCAGACGTCGTGCTCGTCATCTTCGCGCACTGAGACGACGATATCGGGACGCCCGCCGTGGAAGTTATGAAGATTTCTGAGGAAGCTCTTCTGTATCGGCTAGCTGCCACAAATACAGCCACACCACGAGGATCTTCCTCACCAGCCCAGGAGAAGGAAGATACGCTACGCAGTGTAGCGACTCATTCCTGGAAATTTTGCAAGGAAACCTCTCACATGTCCACCCAGTTCCGTCCGCAATGCAAATCCACGACCCACGACACCCCACAAGTAAACCGCGATGGCCAAGAACTCGAGTTATATCGACAAGCCGACACTGTCCTCTACGTACTGTATGCATTCCAGTCTTGTACAACCCCAGCACTTGTCCCCGAATTGCAGATTGAATCACAGCAAAGAGTTTTGCTACTTGAACTCCTGCCTCACCTGCCCATCACCTACCGACGGCTGTGTCGGAATTTGGGGCGTGCAGCCTTGCGCTCGGCCTTCTCCTTCTTCTTGAGCGCCGCGGGGTCGTCCTCGTCCGTCGGGTCCGGAGTGAAGACGTAGTTGAGCAGCATGCGGCCGCCGTGGTAGAGCAGGTAGCCCGGGATCACGAGGTACACGAGCCAGAAGTAGCTCGAGACCATGAGCCCGGCCTGCACGAAGAGCGTGATGATGAGGACGTCCATCGCGTATCTAAAGCGGACACCGGGAGACAACAAACAGGTCCATCTGTCAGTCTCTCATAGCTGATACTGTCAACTACCCAGAACGTACTCGCTGCTGCCTCCCTCCTCAGCTGCGCCGACGACCCACGAGTAGCTCAGGTACGTGGACGCCGTGAGGAAGACGTAGCCCACGAGCGTCCACGTGGTCACCGAGCTGTAGTGCCACAGGACGCAGTACAGCAAGTACAGCACGTTGATGGGCACGATCCACTGCTGCAGCCGCGTGCTGAGCGACGCGCTGGCGCGCTGCGCCTTCTTGGCGGCTTGGTTGGCCTGCGGATCATGCGTAGAGTAGAGAGGGGGCGTTAGCCCACGAGGGGAGGACATCCATCCCTGCACCTCGCATTAACGTACCATTTTGACAAGTAAGGTATACGATTCGGAAGGTAAAATGACTCCCTCTCGGAACCAGTAAGCGTTATTGTCGGAGGGAATGTAAACATACAGGCAAATTGTGTATCGCACATGCAAGTTGAAGTTGCCTTTAACCTGGTTTGCTCATCGCTTTGAGTGTTCAGGTCTTGTGCTCTTACTCAGTTTACACGCACTGTGCGAACTCGGTCTGTTGGCAACGGCACCGCTCTAAGCGTCGCGCCATCCTAGGTTGGCATCAGCAATCGGCAAAACGTTGGCACCGCATTCGACCACCAAAGCTCGAGAGATAGAGCCGTCTTCCTGTCAACGCGCTTGTTGCGAAGTCATTAAGCGCGATTTGCCTCGCTGAACGGCGTGGTCGCGTCTCGCGTCTCCAAACCCGCGAATAGACAACTCTAAACTCCACTGCAATCGGTTTCGACCAGGCCGCTATTTGCTGAGTATTGCCCGCGTGGTGCCGCCTTTGGCATGAACCAACACGAAGCACAATTGAATGCCACAATGACGAGTCCCGATTTGCACTCATAAATACCCTGGGCACCTGGGAGCACGTGCTACGCACAGAGAGATCAAGCAGACAGGTAACGGCAGACGTCGACAATATATTTAAAGCTCTCGGTCCGCGTGTGCCCCTGGAACGTGAAACCCCCTGCAATAACCAAGACGAGTCCTGGGCAGGCCCCTGCTGCTGCTGCTGCTGCTGCTGATTGTTCTCCTCCGTCTCTTCCTCCTTCTTCCTCCTTCTCTCTCTGATTGTTCACGGTCTCTCTCGCTGCATGGCTCTTGGCTCGACGTCTTCGTGAAGCCGCAGCAGCAACCGACACGCCAAGCACGCTGAGGGCGGACACAGTCGTTCGCGAGGGTGAGCAGCCCACTGGAGCAGCAGCAGCCGGTGAGGTGGCAGCAGCAACAGCAGCGTCGTGCCCTGACGAGGGTCGTGGGTGCGAGACTCACGGCCCGAGGAAGCTGACCATCGCCGTCAAGCCGCTCTCGTGGGGGTCCAACCAGCGCTCGATCAGAGACATGGAGCGGCGAGCGAGCGTGCTGGACCAGCCCTACCGACTCGTGGACCCGTTCCAGATCGAACGCGATGAGAGGACCCACCAGAAGCCCACCTACATCTCCAACGCCATCCACACATCAAAGTACACGCTGCTCAACTTCCTGCCGCTGTGTCTACTGCAGGAGTTCCGGCGGGTACGCAATCAAATAGGTTTGATCCTGCTTGAAAGACTAACAACTTCCCGTTCCAGTCGGCGAATTTGTATTTTCTAGTGATCGCCATCCTGCAGTCCATCAAACAAATCTCGCCGCTCACTCCGGTAACGGCAATCGCGCCGCTGGTTATGGTGGTGTGCGTTAGTTTGCTTCGCGAAGCCATTGAAGATAGGGTGAGGACCAAAGCGATCTGACTGTAAGTTGTGACTACAGTGCTGCGCTGACTCGCTTGTTGATGCGAATCGCAGAAAAAGCGCTCGTCCGATGGGATCATCAACGCAAAACCGGTGGTAGTTTTGCGGAATTTTGAAGAGCATCATGTCGTGTGGGAATCGATTCAGGTAAAGCGGGAAGAAATGAGCGACTTGTAAGAAAAATCTCATTAGTTCAAATGTTGCATCCACAGGTTGGCGACCTCGTTCGAATACACGAGCGAGAAGCGATCCCCGCAGACGGAATCGTCCTCGCGAGCAGCGAAGAGAATGGTAAGGGACTGGAGTATTTCCTTAGTGGTTATTGGTTGTGGAAATTGACATATTTCCGACCTTTTAGGGTCCTGCTTCATCGACACCAGCAATTTGGATGGTGAAGCCAACTTGAAATCGCGGGAATCGCTGCGAGTGACGGCAAAATTCGTGTTCGACAAGACTTCGCGCGACAAAGCGAAATTCTTCATCAAGTGCGAGCAGCCAGACCAGGATTTGTACCGCTTTGCCGGGAACCTCTCGGTCGACGCCAAGATGTACAGTCTCAGTGAGAAGCAATTCTTACCGCGGGGCTCCACGCTCATGAACACCAAGTGGGTCATGATGCTCGTGGTCTATACAGGTACCAGACATTCGTTTCCTGTAATCGAGATTGACCTATCACTAAGTTTTTTATTCAAAATGTTTAGGTCACGACACCAAAGTGATGAAGAACGCTCGGGCTGCGCACCATAAGCTCAGCCACCTCGAGATCCGCATGAGTCGGACCGTGGTGTTCGTCTTCTTCATCCAGGTGCTTCTCTGTGCGATCGCAGCGTGCGTCCACCACTTCAACTTCAGCAACACGCAGATGGAGTTGGTGGGGAATGACCCCACGACGAAGCTCGAGGGGATTCTGCTCTTCCTCTCGTTCGTCGTGCTCATGAACACGCTCATCCCAATCTCCCTCGTGGTCACGGTCGAGATCATCAAGACGGTGCACGCCAAGTTCATCACGTGGGACAGCAAGATGCGCAACAGCAGCGGCCAGGGGGCCATCGCCAACACGTCGTCGCTAACGGACGAGCTCGGACAGGTCAAGTACATTTTCACCGACAAGACGGGCACGTTGACCCAGAACCAAATGGTCTTCCGCAAGTGTAGCGTGGGTGGGGGCGTGTACATCGCCAAGCACAAGCGTCCGCTGCTCAGCGGCGTCTCCATCTCGTCTCTCGATGCTTTGGGCACTGGAGCCTCCGCCGCTACGACGTTCCACAGTGACGATGTCCAGCCGAACGAGCTGCCGACCGTCTCGTACTTCCGTCGACTGTTGAAGAATCCCGATAGCACGGAAAGCCACCTCGCGCTGGCGATGTCACTCTGCCATACGGTCGTGTGCGAGTACGACCGATCGACTGGAGCGTTGTCGTACAATTCAGACTCCCCAGACGAGTGCGCTTTGGTTCGTGGCGCTGAGGCCATGGGCGTTAAATTGTTCGAGCGGTGCGGCCATAAACTCTACGTGGCGATTACGGAGGAAGCCCGACATGGATCACACGTCAAGACGGTGACGTATACGCTCACGTTTCAGATCCTGCGCGTGGTACATTTCTCGAGTGACCGGAAGCGCATGTCGATAATTGTTCGGGATGAGAACGGAGGCATTAAAGTCTTCTGCAAGGGCGCAGATAGCGTCATACTGGAACGCTGCGACCACTTCTTGTCGAGCAAGGACGAAACGATGGCCCACGTTACCCAGTTTGCCGAGGAAGGCTTTCGGATTCTGCTGTTTGCTGAGCGAGATTTGGTTCGTAATAACTTGAATGGTGAGTTCGTACTGAAAGTTTGTGCTGATATGTCGATTTCTATGATTTTAGGATGAAAACTACTATAGTGCGTGGGAGCATCGGTACGATGAAGCCGAGCTGAATATCCACGCGAAGGAATCGAAGACACAAGCGCTGATTGACGAGATCGAGCAGCATTTATCGCTCATCGGCGCCAGTGGTAAGTGAAACAGGGGGTATTTGACATGCATAGCTCAATCTCATAGAATGCCGATGTTTTACGCTGCAGCGGTCGAGGATAAACTGCAAGTTGGCGTTCCAGAGACGATCTCCCTCTTCCAGAAGGCTGGCATCAAGGTAAACGCTTGATTTAGAGTTGCATCCCTCGCCCGCCCCTCTCACACTAACGCTCTTGTCTAGATCTGGGTTTTGACAGGAGACAAACTCGAAACTTCGTTGGAAATGGGCAAACTCTGTCGAGTTGTCACTCCGAAAATGCAGGAGGTAATTATCCAGGGAGCTACGCGCAACGAAATGACCCACCAGTTAGAGAAGGCTCTCCAAAACTCCAAGGTAAGCCGGGTTCTCAAAAGTTACCGACGTTGGCTGGTAAGCTGACGTCTTCTATGCTCTCCAATTCAGGAAAGCCAAGCCGTGCTCATCGACGGGAGTGCTTTAACACTCGCACTACTCCCGACCAACCGCAAGAACTTCTTGAAGCTGGCGTTGCAGTCCGCAACTGTCATCGTGTGCCGTGCGTCACCCATCCAGAAAGCCCTCGTAGTAGAACTCGTCAAGGCAGGGGTGCCCGATGTCACGCTAGCAGTGTAAGCGTCTTTTACTACTTCTCATCCGGTTGAAGAAGTATCTTACCAAACTTTTCGATACGTTTCACGAATTCAGAGGCGATGGAGCCAACGACGTGAGCATGATTCGAGCAGCTCACGTGGGCGTGGGCGTCATGGGGCAGGAAGGAATGCAAGCCGTCCGAAGCGCTGACTATGCTGTCCAGCAGTTCAGTCACTTGGGGCGGCTTCTGCTTTATCACGGTACGCTACCACGATGTTCTTCTTTTTTACCAGTAAAGGGGTCAGCATGACGGTAATTATTTCGTTTTGGCGAGCAGGCCGATTATCGTATCTCCGTACAACGCAGTGCATCGACTACTTTTTCTACAAGAACATCGTCTTCACAATGCCCCAGTTCATCTACGGCATTGCATCGGCATTTTCAGCCCAGGTACGGCAATATTTTGACCTAAATCTTTCGACACGAAAACGAAAACTTACTTGGTACTATGAAACGAACTGCAGACCTTCTTCTGCGATATCTACATCACGGCGTACAACGTCGCGTTCACATCCCTCCCCGTCACGGTGCGGGCTGTCATGGAGACGGATCTGCTCGAGGCGATCGCTGCCAAGTTCCCGGAGTTGTATCGGTTCGGGGCTGCGGACATGTTCTTCTCCCCGCACACAATGGCGAAAGCCTCGACACTGGCGGTGGGTCACGCAGTTATCACCACGGCGATCCCTCTCCTGCTCATCCGGCACGACAACCTGGGCGAGAGCAGCTCCTTCTGGGGGGCCAGCGTCGCGTCCTTCTTCTACATCGTCCCGATCGTGCACTTCCAGATCTTCTTCGAGACGTGGAACTGGACGTGGCTCGTTGGGCTCACGTACGCGCTGTCCCTGGGCGTGTTCTTTGCGTCGATCGCCGTGTACGACCACTTCACTGGAGACGTCGAAGGGGTTTGGAGGACTGTGGTGGTCACCCAGGGCTTCTGGCTCGGCTTCTTCCTCGCGTCAGTCGCCTGCATCCTCCCCGTCGTGGCCTACAAATGGTACGTCCTTCTCACCGCTACTTCTACTTACTATGAGCTACAGGGTCTAACCATATTGTACGCTATAGTTATGAAGAAAACTTCGAGACGTCCAACCCGGTGCACATCCTCCGGCGTACGCGGCTTCACAATAAGGTGCTGGACTCGTCGCGGGTAGATGCGATGGGCTCCACCGACCTCACGGTGTCAGTAGTTCCTCGTCCGCACTCCCCGAGCAATAAATAATGACTATAACTAAAGTGGCTTTGGTACAAACACATTGCGATCTGCTGTCTTATCACCAATTCACTTCAACATGAGCGCCTCGTCACATTTTGTGTGTGTCGCTTCGTGACAAGACGCTTCTGGGCCCATGGCGTTCCTCCGGCGCAAGAAGCCCGTGATCCGCGTGCCCACGGGCAAAGACGCCGTCAACTTCCGTAAGCTTCTGTTCCTGCCCATCCAGGACACGGAGGATCTGCTCACGAACCAGGCGTGGGAGCGGGTAAAGCTCTTCAAACACTACCAAAGACTGGGCCACATGAACTAAACTTTGATACCTTTGCAGCTGGACTTGCGATGTCTGACGCTCATGAAGACTAAAATGCTGCGGGCGTCCTGCATCGCTCGAGGTTTGCCCAAGAAAGGGGGTAAGCGGACGCTGGTGCAGCGATTAACCGCCTCTCTGACGGAGCAGCGGACTGCAGGTGAGTGGGCATGGATGGAGTACCCTTTGCTTTTTGCTGTAAACTTACTTCATCGTTATCAGAGATTCGACGGCGACAAGAGGAAGAAGAGGAGTATCAGCGCCAGTTGGACATGCTGGGAGGGGTCTGGTCGTTTGGCTCGGGGTTTGCAGGCCAGCTAGGACATGGGGATCTGGAGTCGTCAGCCACGCCACAGATCATAAAAAAACTCCGTGGGCGCAGCATTGCCCACGTATACGCGGTACGCTAATACTTCACTGCTAGTTATTGGCGAAAGAAACGCATTCATGGTTTTTTTTAATGTTGTGGCAGGGCTTCGACTCGGACGTGGCGTTCGCTGTGAGTCGGATTGGAGACGTCTACGTGTGGGGCAAGAGGACGGGTCCTACGGGTCTCCCACCGGGATCTTCATTGGCAGCGTTAACGAAGCTAACGTATGGTCACGATAGCGACCTGGATTCGAGCGATGACGAGGGAGCGGAGGAAGGAGAAGCGAGGGCTACTAACCAACAACCGAAGCACGAGCGGACGGAGAAGAATGGGGAGGAGCGAGATGAGGGAGAAGACCCAAATGAAAGCGACGATGAAGAAGAAGAAGGCGGCGACGAGGACTTCGTGCATCCGGTTAAGTTGCTCGCTCTCTGTGGCGAGGGAGTCAGCCACATCGCTGTGGGGCGGGTGCACTGCTGTGCGAATACCAAGGATGGAGACGTCTACACGTGGGGGCAGAACGACCACTGCCAGTTGGGCACGGAGCCTGTCCATAATCTATCGGAGGCGCTGTCCAAGAAGGCGCGAGTCCGCTACGGAGTCGACTCGATCGAGCCTCGACTGTGGGAGCGGACAGTATCGGAGACTTGTGTCGTTACTGCTGTTGATGTGGGGACCAACCACACCTTTGCTGTCACCGACAAGGGCGAGATGCTCGCGTATGGCGCAACTTACAACACGAACGACCACTCGAGCTTAGCACGGAGTATTGCGAAACTTCAAGTTAGTCAGGTGAGCAAGTTTTTCATGAAAAAGGGTGAGTACGGAGGCTAATTATTGTAGCTACCTCTTTGTAGATATCTTGTGGGGCCATGCATGCTGGTCTGGTAACAACGGATGGACAAGCATACACGTGGGGAAGCGGTGACGGTGGGTAAGGCCCTATGTTGATGGAAATTATGGGGCTTTCACGACGTCTGAACATTTATCTATTGGTGATTCAGCCGTCTAGGCCATGGCGACAATACGTCCTATGTCAACCCAAAGCTGGTGGAAGCGCTGAAGACCGACGTCATTGTAGAGATCGCGTGTGCGTGCTGGCATACGGTGGCCGTTGTGCTAATCCCCCCACTGTTGAAAGGAGGAGTGGTGCGTGGCGATACATAAAGCTTATCAACCAAGCGGGCTAACTGACCCACTATTGGCCCAGGTTTACACGTGGGGAAGTGGTCGACTAGGGCAGGTACAGCCTTTATGAGGAAGGCCTTTAGATGGAGAAAGACTGACGTTCTAACTGTTGCTGGTAGCTTGCTCAAGGAGGGAAACAAATCTCCACTCTACCGGGTCTCGTGACCGACTTTTTCACCACTCACGCTCTCATCAAGAAAGTGTGTGCCGGGATGTACCACAACGCAGCGCTCTCAGTAGACGACGAGGTCTAGATCACTACCTCTATCCGAAAGCCAAGTAGCACACTGTGACGCTAACTAGCTCCTTTTGCACCAGGTCTTTACATGGGGGAGCAACACCAACGGATGCCTGGGTAGACCGGAAGAACTCGGAGACCTCGAGGAAAACTTCTGCGCTGTACCCGGTCGAGTTGAAGGCATGGAGGACTTCGTCGGCCGCCCCTGCTCAAGTTCGTTCCAATCCTTAGCGCTATCCAACGCGAACTCAAAGCTAACTGACCTAAATCTGCTGTGCCTTAGTTGCATGTGGCCGCGAGTTCACACTAATCGCCACCAAGCCGTACATCGGACCGACGCGGGAGGAGGTGGAGCGCAGGAAGCAGGAGAAGATGGAGCAGTCCGAGAGCATCGTGCGGCAGACGACCGTCGTCAAGGACGAGAAGCGCGACCAGCTCCAGAGAATTCGACGGGACAAGCACGCGACCATAGTGGCGCTGCTCAACGCCAAGTTCCCCAGGTGCTCCATCTGCACGACGGGCCTCATCTGTCCAGGATTCCAGCCGAATAGCGAGAACCCGACGCTGTGCAGGCACTGCATGCACGAGAACCGCAAGCACCAGGACCAACGCAGGCCAAACGACAGGACGGTGACATTGGATTATCTCACCCAAGCTGTCGACAAGTTAGGCATCACCGTCGACTTCAGCGATATCCCAGACATTGAACTGGAGGAGCAACTTGAATTTGAACTGGAGGAGGACGAGGAGTAAGTAAAACAAAATGCAAGTTTCTTAGACAAATCTTGGACTTTGCCGGATGTCGAATGACAAGGAAAAGGAAGCGAACATTTCGCTTTTTACCAGACACCTCGAAGTACTAAGGATGGATAGTGACGAGTGGGAGTTCCTGAAGCCTTGGCATGTTGCACTGCGTGGTGCTTTGACTGGACGCGAGAGAATGCTGGCGACTTTAATCTGAACCTTGCAGTGATCCGTTCCCCTCCCAACTGAGTTCACCCAACAGTTTTGCTTCGACTTCATCGAGATGCAGCAGCAACAGTACTGCAACAGCTGGGAGAAGCCATCGAGCTGTTCGCCTTACTTTCCTTTGTGAACAACCGAGCATTCGCCGAGCTCATGATAAAGTCGACGGGAATACGTGATACGGTGCTCGAAGACCACATCTATTGCCCATCCTGGAGACTCCAGCTGGTTGGAACTCTATCGCCGAATGACCCCGCAGGGGGCCCTACTCCAGTCACCTGGGCAACGTTGTTCGGATTTCCGTCGGAGTGTTCCGAGTACTCCGCGGAGTTTCATGCGGAAGTCCAGAAAGTAAAGTCACGCGGTCCCAAGGAAACGAGTGAAGGGAATTTCCAGTCGGCCATTTCGTGGTCATGCAACGTTCAGGATTCCATCGTGCTCGGCCGACAGGAACTTGGCGAATCTGATGGCGGGATGAGCGAAGTTTCGACGGACTTTCGCAAGTTGTTGGGTCTTCAAGCTCCTGCTGTTGCCCAGCTTCGTCTCAGTAGCGAGAAGGCAGCGCTGCTTGACGTCTGGCGGAAAACACCTCCTCTTCCCGAACCACCAAAGTGTAAACTCGTGTGGGCAACAATGCCTTCACCGTCGGATTTCACGGATGTGGTCGCAGCTTTGGCTCGAACGCCAACGTCGTGGTTTGTGCTAGATCTGCATCATGAAGCTTGGGTTGCAGGCCCTTCTCAAGACGAGATCAACGCGTTGACAACGCTGGCCTGTGGTCGGTCATATTGCATGGCAGCTCAGTTACGTCTCGGGCGGAGTATGGGGAGATCGGATTGTTGTGTCACTCGGTCCCGGATGAAGTTTATGTCACCGCCTTGCCGGCGGTTGCTGGAATCGGCCCCGAAACTCAGTTGAAACTTATCCAGCTCGACTCGATGAACCCCGAGCGGTGGGGGTGGTTGGTGTATGCTCTCAACTACAGAGCCCCCGATGTACGAAACTCCGACAGTTATACTGTTTTAGATCTGACAATTGAAGAGAAATCGCTGACCAAAGCGGACATGTCTGCTATTGTGGCAGCGCTGGAGACCGGGTATCCACAAGCAAGTCGGGAAAGTGAGCGTATGTACGGGTTTGCCGATGTTGATGAAGGAGCGCAGCTGGGTTTCTCTGAATTCCTGAACGATAGTGGCAATTTCCAGGTTGCATCGTGTAATTTTCGATGCCGCGCTTCTTACGAAGCAGCTAATAGTGGCGTTGTGGATATCGTTGTTCCGGGGTATGGGGTTTGCACAACAAAACTTGACGATTCAATTCAATTCACCCCCGATATGGATAAACTTTACGTGGAGAAGCACCGTATTTGCGAGTGTTTAAACTTTTATTTCGACAGGATTGATGATATTGTGGATTTACTGAGGGTGCTCTTTCGTGGCATTCGCAGCTTGTCGATTCACGTGTACGACGGTAGCGAACACCAGACTGTGGTGGATCTCAGCGTGTTGTCTGCTGTGTGTCCACGCTCAGCACGAGCAACTGTACTGTGGCTGTGTTGACTCATTGTGAGGCGCTGCGTACCTGGCCTATTCAGATGATGGTCATCGCAGCGACGGCCACAGTCTCCGACCTAATTGCAAGTCTGCGGAACTCTGCGCTTCGGATGGCACGAGAACTCGTGAATTTGAACGTCTCGCCAAGAAAAATCGAAGGCTTAGCGAGGAGGAGAGGAGGAGTATCGACGCTCTCGACGGAGAGTCCTTGTCAGTCACGAAGGAGAAATTCCCTAGGTCGGCGAAGGCTGCACTGATAAGTGTCGTGATGAGGGGCCATGCAACGGAGGATTTGAAGGCAATTCGCCACATTGACGCCAATATCCTGAGCCTAATATTCGTCTTCGCCTCGACACCAGCGCGAAGAGAAGTGTACCGTTACAATGACGCGTAAGCCAGCGTTTTATTTGAAGATTTGTTTGTGTCGATTGGTAAGCTCAAGTCATCGAACATAACTTTGATGCTCCTTGAAGCTAATTCATTCACGATTCTCCATGCGTTATTGAGATTTATAAGGGTCACTGCCACTTTTCAAATACGTGCTCTAGTTGTGGGCCAGCATTTTTATTTGTTTAGCAGTGCTCCAATACTACCAGCCACGTATCATTGAGTTAGCTGCAGCACGTCGAACGACATCTGCAGTGCTCCATACCCAGCATTGAGCAGACCATCCGTACCCCGAGAGACGTCACTGCGTGGCACAAACTACGCGCAAGTTAATTTCCAACGGAAGTCTAACTCCCGCAAAGCACAACAAAATCAAGTGAGTAGTATCATAGTACTTACTTTCACGAAGAAGTCGTACCAGCCTCGAATGGTGTCAATAAACAGCAGCAACATGAGGATGGGCACCATCGCCGCAGCACCCGTCTGTAACTTGTCAACTGCCTCCTTCACGTCGCCTTTGAGCTCCGTCTTCCTCAGCACAAGGCCCACAATAAACCACATAGCGACCAAAACCACGACAGGATCTCGGCTCGCAATGTTCAGCATGACAGCCGCAGTAATTAGAACCCCCATCAAAGTCGCGTAGACAGCAAAGCTGAAGTACCGGCCGCCAACTTGATCGCGTCAATTGCGTTCTCGGGTCTTTGCTGGAATCCGTCGTCCATCTCACCGTAGCAGGGGATTGACTTAAACCTCATCAGTGTCAGCGCGATCGGGGCCAGGTACACCCGAAAGCTGCCGAAGAGCATGAAAAGCATCAACTGGGGAAAAGAACCCAAGAAATGACGGACGCAATGGCCTTTCCTCCTATGGAGTGTTAGTACCAGCATCAAAGTCATTAAGCGTGGGGAAGTGTCGACAGTACGCGATGTTTTCGTCCACATCTTGGAAGAGACTCGTCGATGCTTTGGTTTCGTGATTCAACTGCTCGTACTCTTCGTCGTTGCCCTCGCCATAACGATGCTGTGCTTACTTTTCTCCCATGGACACTGGCCGTACGTGACCTTGGCGATTCTAGTACCGGGATGGTGCTTGGCGCTGGCTTCCTATGTGGGGCTGGAGGGCAGGTGCCAGTGGAGGATCCAGAATGCCATTGACGCGATCCAGTTTACGATGGACAAAATGGCACTGCGTCTCTGGTTCGTGTGGCTCACGGCCGCAGTGATCTTCTCTTTCTAGCAGCGTACATTCAAATTCGTGATCCAGTCGTGGCGTGGGTGGCGGCCTGGTTATTGTGGGTCTTGTCAGGAGGAAGACCAAGCTCGAAGGCGACGCGAAGGAGACGTTTGACAAGTTGCAGACGGCTGCCGCCACAGTGGTTGCACCCTTATTTGTCGGAATACCACACTGCCTAATACATGCATCCGCAAGAAAACCCATCAGTAAAACGATAGCCACCAGGGAGAGAAACTAAGCCGGTTCCATCATTTACACGCTCGTGGGATGTCGGATTGGCTTCTTTCGTCGCACGATTCACAGTAACGATGGTATGCATAACAAGCGAAGCGCAAAACTTTTTCTGCGATTGTCCTTGCACCTCTTCTGTGCTGTGGTGTTCGCTCTTGCTCCGTGGTATGCTGCGCCCTACGATACCGATCACCAAGAGACGTACAATCTGCTGGCTCCACCGGACTACGTATTACCGACGTGCTGATTCCTGATGGCAAACGCTGTAAGCAGTGGCATTGGCATGCATTTCTGGCCCGCGCAGTTGCCGACTACAGCACGGGCAATTTTTCTCGTTAAGCTGCTGATCTATTTCATCGGCGCTGCGTTGATCATGTTAAGGTTGTTGTTGGGATTCATGTTCTTAGGTTGTATTTGACCCCCGTCGCGCTAACACTGCTGCTTATCAAGACTGCCCCCGTCCACGACGACGACAACGAGTTGGACTGATACCAACGAAGACCACAGACTCCCCGGAATGCCATTGACGCAATCAAGTTGGCGATGGACGAGATATCGCGGCGCGCCTGGATCGCATAGCTTGTGCTTGCCCCACTGTTTGTGGTGGTGCTGGTTGTCGACACCCAAAACTAACTAACTGACATGCTGCTGTGTGTAGTGATGGCTGTCCAGACGCTGACAAGGTGCTGTATAGGCAGCCGTGTGAAATGATAAATCCGTGGTCAATCAACTAGCTGCGGCGAACAATTGGCCACAGTATACTGGCCTCTGCCATGATTCAAGTTAGATTTCAACCTGGTTCATGCCACGAAGTGATAACTGTCCAGACGCGGGCAATCCGGGACTCAGTGCTGTACAGATAGCAGCGTGAAATGACGCTCGAAAAGAATTTCCAATCCTAAATCCGTAAAATTGGTCAATCAACTACCACAGGGCCTTCCCCATCATTCTAGCTAGCTTTAATGACCCCATCAACGAAGAAGCGGGGAAACCATCAGCATTAACGCGCCCTTTCAATAGAATCAGCTCATTTCTCGATTCTGTTGCTGCTTGAGTTGAGTGCCCTGGCCTCTAGCATGACGTGGGTAACAGGAGAAGCGCTCAACTTTTTTCTCGGCGTGTTCTTCCACCTCTGTTGCGCCGTGGCGTTTGCTCTTGCTCCGTGGTATGCTGCGCACTACGACACTGATGGTCAAGACATGTACAACCTCTTAGCTCCGCCGAACTTCGTACTGTCCATCTTCGTTTTCCTCCTGACAAGCGTTCGAAGTGGTGGTATCGTGTTCAAGCGCCAGTATACATCACTCATAGGCAGAGTCTTCGACCGAATCACGGACAACCACTGCATTGGTGTGCTTTCGCTGCTTACGTTCGCCGGCTGCGTGGCCCTTTTCCTCCTGTTGCTGGGCTTCATGCTCGTCGGCAGCCTCCGGGTGTACCTGGCCCCGGTCGCGCTAACACTGATGTGGTACAAGTCAATCCCCTACTACGACGAGCTAGACAACGGACTCCAGCAAAGACCCAAGAACGCGATTAACGCGATCAAGTTGGCAATTGACGAGATATCGGTGCGTGTGTGGTTCACATGGCTGACTGCCGCGACGATCTTTTCGTTTATCGACATTGCTCAGTTCCTGGAGGCCCAGTACTTCAGCTTTGCTGTCTACCTGAATTTGATGGTGGTCCTCATCGCGGTGGCTATTGTTCTCTACATTTCAAGTCGAGATCCGGCCGTGGCTTGGGTGACTACCTGGTTCATTGTGGGTATTGCAGTGTGACGCGAAGGAGACAGTTGAGACGTTGCAGACGGTGGCTTCGGCCATCGCCCCCATATTTGCGATAGTGCTGGCTATCGACACCACCCAAGGTTTTTACGACTTCTTTGTGAAGGTGAGTGCTTCGTTTGCTCTCGTTTGCTCTCGTTTGCTTTGGTTTGGGACGGATTTCCAGTGCTAATCTATCTACCTGTTCGTAGTTTGTGCCACGCAGTGATGTGTCTGGTGACGCAGATGGCCGGCTCAATGCTGGGTACGGAGCGGTGTGAACGGACATTGTCGATGACCCACCTGGGTAGCCTACGGATACTAGTAGGGCGAATCGAACCTGCGTGAAGCTAAGGCTAAATCTCGTTGGAAATTTTCTCGACTTGGCAGTTCGAAATGGTAGAACTTATTGCCACTTCTTGCTTCGCTAACTTATTGCTTACACATACCATCCACGTAATACAACGTCGCCCTCCTACTGTTGGCACCAGGATAGGACTCTCTGCTTGATCACGCCGACAGCTTCTTGTAACAATAGCAATTGACGCTTCCGACCGATATTCCCTCCCGAAAGGAGGTCCAGGACGTACAAAACAAGCGAAGCTGCGCCAAGCAGTCGGATGGAGGACGACTTGATCACTTTTCGCTGCTTCGGAACGATGATATCCCGCAGTAAGCAGCCAAACGCTAGCCACAAGCAGACCTTGCTGAAATCGATGTAGCGCGTCAACAAGCGGACCCAATTCTGCACGGCTGACCAACTGAGAATACGGCTGGACTTGTGCTTGTTGTGGTTCGCCTTCATAACTGCGACCCACGAAAGAATATCCGCAAAGTCCACTACTCCATTGCGGTCGTAATCCAGAGCGTCAAGATATCGATCAGCATCCGCAACGCTTATCTTCTCGCCTATGGACGGCGAGTAGGCATTGATTAGACGGCATCGGGAGCACCAACAGACTATGAACACTTACCGAGAATATTCAGGATAAACTGCGATACCTTGGTAGAGCTCAGCTCTAAGCTGCCGTCCGTGTCCATCAACGAGAACATGAGCTTGACCGTATCAAGTTCTTGGTTGGTGAGGAGCTGTTGGCAAGCAGAAAGCAGTCCACGTGTTAGTTGATATGCCATGGCTTTGGTCTTACCCAACGCTGACCCGTACACTGGGTCGGCCGTCTTCTCCCTCCTGTGCCTCATCCATGTTGGACAAGGACGGTCTGCGAACAATTCGCGGAGGCGAATCATGGCCCGACGCATGCGTCGACTTGTCCTCGACCAACTCCCACTTTTGCACTTCATCGTCGAGTACTCTTCGAATAGCTTGCGGGTGCATTTCACTTGTCAAGCGCCGACGTCGATCTGCACAAACGATTCCTCCGCAACACTTCGTCATTTAATGGTAAAATACCAAACCGACTAACGGCCTTACCTGCTGGACTCTCGTCGTCTGAGTCAACAACATCCACAGGCGTAGCAATAATATCACCACTGGCAACAGGAGGATGTGGCACACTTACGGCATTCTTGTCTGCCTTCTGTCCATCCGACAGCCACAACACTTCCTCGAAAAACTCCTTGCTGGCTGGTAGGAACGGCAGTGTTTGGTTAAATAGGCGCCACATATCCGACCCCCTCTCAGAGCTCGCAATCGGTGGAGCTGGATGCCCCACCGTCTTTACTTGCTGTGTTTTCCACGAAAATGGGTCATTGCGAAAGACCAAGTAGCCAGCCTGACCATCGATCAATATCATAAGTCGTAGTAAATAGGCCAATAGCAGAATCCGTTGCTGTAAAAAATAACGCACCATATTTCCGTAGCTGTCGCAGTAGTTTGGTGCTGAGAAGACAGTGATCAGTGGTGGCATGGACTTGTCCTGTCGAGTGTCGAGAGTCCGAAACTCCTCCGAGTTGAAGTGAAACATGAAACCCTCGTCCTCGTACTCGTGCGCTCGCAGCATTGAGATCAGTTGGTTGTTGGCCAAGAACTCGAACATTGCCGCCGCATTGAAATAGTACGAGCAACCCCGTGCCTACAATTTTGCCAGCCGACACAAATTAGATAAGAGAAAAGTTTGTGAACATTTCCTTAATCTGGAGCCGCACCTGATTGGGTTGCCATGACGCCTGAGTGTCCACTTCGTCCGCGTGTGTGAGAGGGTCCGCCCACAGCAAGTCGCATAATAGTCCAGTGGTAGGGATTTCTCGACGTCGATCAATGGCTTGAATGTCCTCAATAGTCTTCAATTCAGGTGAAATCCCCCCATGCACACAGAGGATGTTGCCTCGAGGGGTGGGTGACAACGCAGCCACTGGCATCGACTGGAAGCAGGAGAGGAAATGGTAGTACGCCGAAATGCCATACTTGACTCGACCTGTATCAAGTATCCAGCATATTATTCGAAAAGCTCTAACCCATATTATGAATACACGGCATAAATTAATAATACGTACACTCGTTGCGGAACCCGTAGAAAGAGGAGATGGACTCGCATTCGTGATTACCGCGTAGCAGCACCACTTTGTCAGGAAACTGTTGGGTGGGCATCAAGTTAGTGTAAATGGTTAAATAGAAGTGGATAATGTTTACTCGTACCCGTATCTTCAGCAGCAGCAGGTAGAGCATGACTTCGCAGGAGAAGGCGCCGCGATCCACGTAGTCGCCCAGGAAGAGCAGCTGCACGTCGCGCTCCTGGAGTTCGGCCACGCCGGCCGCGTCCATCAGCTGCATCAGGTCGAAGAACTGGCCGTGGATGTCTCCGAACACTGCGCAAAATGAACACGTAATCGTCGTTTAAAAAGTCACCAGATTGAGATTTATGGGCTCAAAACGGCAACTTGTCCCTGGTACAGTACCGTAAGTTGAAGCTCGCTGCGGCACGGCCACCACGTTGGGCTCCAGGCCCATGAGGAACTGCGCCTCGTGGATCACGCCCAGCGCGTCCTTGACCGCCAGCGCGTTCTGCTGCTCGAAGGCCGCGCGCACCTCCTCCAGCGACAGCAGCACCTTGGTCTCCCGGCGTCGCGGCATGGTCCAGATCAGTCTCACCGAAAAGATACTGAGGCGCGCGCTAAGTACGAAAACGGTTAAAACACCGAAAGGGCGCGAGCACTTCAACTTGCTGTCCGGCTCTCGACTGGCTGGTGGCCACGAGGGCGCTGAGGCGTGGCGTGCGTTGGTCGCCAGCATGGAGAAGAGGAAACGTGTCGCATGAGACCCGCGCACCGCATTCAGGTCGCAGGCGGAGGATCCAAGTTGCGCTGGCCTCGTCAGTTGCTGGGCGCTCGCTCGAGTCGGCAATAGCGTGTCGACTGAGCTGCAGCGCCACATGTTTCCACTGGATCTCACACTGCAGGCTCCATCCAGTCAAAGGCTTGGCGAGAAGAAGAAGAAGGAGCCACAACACAGACAGGTGCAATAGCTTCATCTGCAGGTGGAAAATCTATGAACATTTTGTTAGGCCGTTGCGGCGGTGCGGCTGGAGAATTTCAAGAAGATCGCCAGTCGTTTGACATTTGAGCGGCAAAGCGTATCCACACCCGATGTTGAATCGCAACAATACGATCAGTCGACCGCCACTACCAGGCCGACAGCCTCCGCCCATACTACAAACAAGCCCTTTAACGTATTCTTCGCCTTCAGCCTCGAGGCCCCTGATTCCCCTTTCTCAGCCTCAGCCTCAGCCTCAGCGCTCGCTGCCTTCTTCTCAGCTGCCCACGCCCCCCACCAGCAGCACCAGATCCAGGTCTCCACAGTGCAAACCGACTATCTGGCGCGCTCCACAGAGCGACAGTCCGTCATTCCCCAATCTGCCGCCTGCCGCACACGAGACACAATTCACCTCCCTCCTCCTACAGGCGATGGCCGAGCGCAAGAGCAAGAGCAAGAGCCGCCGCAAGAGCCCGTACTGCACCCGCCGGAGCAGCAGCTTCCACAGCCCGACGCCCGCCTCCAAGCGCGCGCTGGAGCCGCTCTTCGAGTCGCCCGACGCCAGCCACAGCTTCCTCTCCGCCTCCGTGAGCCTGTCCCCGAGCCTCTCGCCCCGCCCTGCGCCGCCCTCTGACCGTGTGCTGACCTTCCTGCAGAGCGCGCGCGACCGCGACGTGCCCGTGCGCTTCGGCAAGTGGAGCGGCGCCGAGGACACGTACCTGGCCAAGCTCGTGGCGCTCTTCAGCGACGGCCTGCTGGCCGACCTGGACGCCAAGACGACGCTGCGCTCGTGGCTCGCGCTCATGCTCAACTGCTGCCCCATGCGCATCTCCAAGAAGCAGATGCACGGCCGCGGCTTCTCGGGCAAGACCAAGTTCCGGCACAGCAACAGGGCCGAGCGCATGACGCAGGACAGGCACCAGCAGCTCCTGCAAGAGATCGAGACGCTGCGCAGCGCCTTCGTCCGCGCCTGGGCCTTCGAGGAGATCCAGCGCCGCCACGACTGCCGCGACAGCATCGACGACTGGGTCCTCAAGCTGCAGCAGCTCGTGCCCACGCCCAAACTCATGAAACCCTTGAGGGACGACAAGAAGAGCAGCAAGCAGAAGAACAAGACGCCCAAGACGCCGCTCGTGGAGATGAGAGCGACCCGTCCAGAGCTGGAGAAGGGCAAGGAGCAGCAGAAGGAGAAGAAGAGCAAGCTGCAGGAGGTGGACGTTGCGCCGCTGGAGCCGGCTCCGATCCCTGTACTTGCTACTGCAGCTGCGTCTCCTCCGCTTCCAGTTGCTTCTGTTGCTGCTGCTTCGTCTTCAGCGCTGGTGCCTGCGAGTTTTAACACGGCAATGGCTCCAAGTTACCTCGACGAGCCTGTGAGCTTGGGCGAATGGCTTGCGTTGAACTCCTCCGGTCGCGGGTATCAGTGGAACGACGTCCAGAGCGTGACCCACGTCGGCGAGGCGAGATACACCTACTGCGAGGACGAGATGCAGCTGTCCGTGCACTTGGGCGACCAGCAGAACGTCTCCATGACGCGCAGATCGTCCCGAGTCGTGATCGACTTCGGAGCGCCGAGCTGCTGGTACACGGGCGAGGAGCCCAAGCGCTCGTCCTTCTCCGACTGCATGCCGTTGGGTGACACCGACCTGGTGGAGGCGGAGGCTCTGCTGGCAGACTCGGGCGTGCTTGGCTGGGACGACGCGTCCCCGATCTCCACCCCCTACACGACGTACAGCCCGCCGTTGAACCTCCTGTGAAGCTGTGATGGCTCTGAACACCCGCCCCCAGCCTCCTCGTACGAGCTGGCGGAGCACGCACGTATCTGGTAGTTATCATGTTCCACCTCTGTGTGTCCCTCTTGACAGTAGTTTAACCAGCGTCTTTGAACTCGTGAACAAGTTTCTCCTCTTATGCAGCAGACTGCGCCTTGACCGCCTCAAGTTGGTGCATCAATCGAGCGATCTCCTTGTGCAGGTGCTTGAGCTTCTTCTGTTCAGCCAGGATGGTGTCCCCAGCGTGGTCCCGCGACCGGATCTTGGCCAGCTCCGCTGCCATGGCTCCCACCTTCGCCACCGTGCTCCAGTTACTGGACAAGATCTGCATCACGCGCTGCTCACTCGCTCGGTCTTCGTCCAGATCAGCGGCTTTTCCCCCAGAGAGCTTGTTGCGCGTGGCGCCCATGCGCATCCGAGCTGCCGCGTCCACGCGATCCACAGCGGTCGTGACGACGGTGGCGTCGTGCAGATTCCCCCAGTCCGGACGCGGCGTGAACGCGCGCTTCAAGTGCGCTGCCTCCTCTTCCAGATCCTTCAGGTCTTTCTCCACGGCGACGCGCTCGTTGTTCAGCTCGCGGAGCTGCGCGCGCACGTCGAAGATGGCCTCGGTGCGAGCTCTTACGTAGGCCTTGCGGTCTCGCTGCGCCTCCTGGAGAACCTGGTTCTTGGCCAACGCCAGCGTGAGACGTGCGAGCTGGTGCTGTGTCGAGGTCTTGGAGCCCACGCGACCCGTTGGCAGCAAGTTGGTGGAGGTGGACAACGTGCGCAGATCTTCCAGTCGCTTGGCGCGCAGCTTGTTGGCTTGCTCCTCCCGCTTCACGTCGCCTGTCGTGACCGAGACTAGCTGCTTGAGCTCGCTACGACGCGTGTGCAGATCGTTCAGACCGGCGCGGAGATCGTTGCACGCCCACATGCGCAGATCCTTCCGACGCCGCATCTCGCTGATTCCTTCCCGAATCGTGGCGGTCCTGGCGCTGACGTCAACTTCATCAGGGGCGCTCGAGCTACTGCGTCTCCGCTCCACCACTGGCGAACCCCCATGAACGGCGGACTCCATTGCACGAGCCACAGCAGCCTGACACTCCTGAATCATCTTGGGAAGATCATTGTTGTGCTCTTCAACCTGCTTGATCTGGTCGCGTAGCTGCTGGCACGCAGCTTCCTCCTCTTGGAGCATCGCCTCCGTGCCTCGAAGCAACTGCGAGTAGAGGATCCTGGGCTGAGCAGCCACTTCACGCTCACGATTTGGACTCGGACACGCAAGATCATTGCTGTCGTCAGGCACAAACGACCGCCAGCATGCAGCCTCCAGTCCAGCCAGCATCTCCTGGGCCCTTACAGCATTGAAGCTGGCACTTTTGTCGCTGTGTGAGATAGCCAGCACCGCTTGTCGGAGCTTGTTGAAGGCCTCCTCAGGGATCATCGGCGGTCTCTGGTGAGGCAACACACTCTGGTGCTTCTTCTCCACGTGGACGACCTCCTCCAGCACTCGAGGAGACCTGAACGCCTCTAAGGAAGACCCGACACTATAACGACGCGTTTGCTCCTTGTTCTGCTGTCGAGGCGAAACTGGCATGGCTGTGAGATTGACATGGCGTCGACTGGCTCGAGCACGGGCTTGAGCTCGAGCCGACTGCTTGTGCGCACCCTTCGGAGGGGCTGATGGCACACATGGCGACGGTGGATAGTAGATGTGCGAAGTGTCCATCCCTTTAGCAATGGAGAACCTGGTCTTGGTTCAAACCCGCGAGTAATTCGAGACTTTGGGCAGCATGCTCCGTAAAAATAGCAATCTTGGGAGTGCGATGATCGACGACCATTTCCATTCCAGCAGCATGAAGAGAACACTCGTCTTGCTCAGCACAGCGTTGCTCTGGCTGATAGATGGCGTATCTGCCGCAGGAGGCATTGATGACGCCACGGTACGTCACCAAATAGCCAGAGATCTCACCGATTCGCTGGCTTATCACTGTCTTGCTGGGGTAGAATAGCCGTCGGATATCTGCTCGCAGACGTTAGAGGAGCTCCAGAACTTGCTGATCAACCAGGACCAAGCAGACAACGGCGTGACAGGCAACACGCTCGTAACCAACGACTGCAAGGAGCTGGTGGACGCCGGCGTGATGAACGCGCGCAGCGACGACGCCCAGAAGTCCCTGTGTGGCAACTCGTGCTACGACACCGTCAACGCCAAGTACAAGACGCTGCTGGACAACGACTGCTTCGCCAGCGACGACGCCGACGAGGAGGCCAGCGCCAAGCTCCAAGCCGCCTCGTACCAGATCGCGTGCCAGACCAACTCGGACGGCGAATACTGCGGTACGTGGCCTGCCGCCTTGACTTGCTATGTTGACTTGAGCCCCCCCCCCCCTCACTCACCACCTTCTCCACGGCCAGTCCCGCTGCTGGCGACTCTTGTTGACGAAGCCGGCACGTCCTTCTCCCTGTGCGACGACATCGTGTCGAAGATGGGCTGCTGCTTCCAGAGCTACCGCCAGTACATGCTGCTCGGCACGCCCGCCAGTGTCGCCGCCATGGACGACGCCCAGAAGGAGTGCGCCGACAGCGTCGGCGGCCTCGACTCCATGTGCCCCTGCGCCTACAACGCCCACGCCTTCGCCAACACTACCTTCTGCTCCCGTACGTGGGGCGTCTGCTCCTCCTCTCCCTCTCCCTCTATGTTCTTGACTTGACCCCCTCCTCCCTCTCCACAGACGCAACGCATACACGCCCCAGCCTCACCTCCGCTGTTGTATCACTTGCTGCCGCCTTCATTCTTCTGTACATGTAGCCCGTAACCAGACACAATGCACGCCCCCCTAGACATTGCATAAGCCGCAAAACGACATTGCATAAGCCGAAAAAGATTTTGTTTACGTCATTTCCCTTGTAGGTGTAGGCTGCACTTGTAAATACTCGATGTCTTGGCGTGACGCACGTGAAGTCTGTCGGCTCATGCCCCCAAGCTCGAAGCTGTTCGGCTTCGCTTGCACAGCACTAACAACTGGCACGCTTGCGTCAGGAAAAGGTGCTGCTCAAGTTGCGAGAACTTGACCCCGGGCATCGCCTGCATCTCTCCTTCTGGCAGCACTTGCGGCGCTTTTAACTCACTACTACTAGATAGTCGCGCTTAACGCGGTGTGGCTCCGTCGTCTTCGCTAGGATACGTGTTGCAACATGTTTTGAGAAGTCACCAACCAGCCCGTACGATCGTCAACCTTCGATCTCAAAATTGTCGCCGCTATTGTCATTTTCTCCTCGATAAATTACCGGTTGCTGAAGCAACCTGTAATTTTAAGGTTGCCGAGCCGTTTTTAAGGTTGTGGAAGCCTCTTTAAGGGTGCTGTCAACAAAGTTGCTTTACGGACTGCCGCAGGGGCCGGCCGTTTGTCAAGTCTAAATTCGGTATACCGGCTAAAACCGGCTGTTTTATTTGAAACTCAAGAGGACTCTTGCGATTTGTATGAAGGTCGTCGTTCATATCACTGGTTTCTCCTGCCTAAATGGTAGCTGCTAAGAATCTCCCGACCAAACCGATTCCCTCTAGCATAGTAGTCTGTTTTAAGCAATACCCACACCATCTATTATGCCCTAGCTTTCGCTTCTTTCCATTTACGCTTGGCTGAGATCTCGATTCGCCGGAACGCAGCCTTGACCGCGGCTTCACGTCTGCTCGAACACGCACAGGCATCATACGTTGGGTTACGAAAGCACGCACCCTACAATTTTCTCTGCACAGTGCAACGTAGCATAGCTGCCTTCAGGTGTGCTTCGCTGTCACAGTTTTCGCCGCAGTCCTCCTCGCAGCGCCTTCCAATCGCCCAGTCGCTGGCTGTTGTTCAGCTTCGTCCACTGCTTGGCCGTTTGACGTAGCTATTGTCCAGAGCCACACAAGTGTTAGATATACGCGCACCCGAAGCTATGGCAAAGAAACTTACTTACACGTCGTCGGGCGGGACGTAGCATGGTGCTTGCTTGCTGCTCGTTCTTCGGCTTGCCTCCCACGTTGGATCTTTCGAAATGGAGCACCTTTTACTCGAGCTTCCGGCCGCGTTGGACTACCTTGACAATTTTTTAGTACGAATATCTTACCTCAAATAGAAAGTTTGCGGTAAACTACTCAGTAGCCGAATGTATCGTAAATTACAAAGTTGCTCAAGCAACCTTGACAGAAATATAAGGTTGCTCGAGCAACCTTATGGGATTTTTTATGTTTCAATTAAGGTTGCGTTAATCACTTCGGGCCCCTGCAACTGGGATTTGTATCGGCCAGTTATAACAGTTTCATATCGATACATAACCGATGTACCCATGGTATGGGGGCCTGTTCTTAACCGATTTCTGATTCCATGGGACTGTGCGGATATCGCTAAACGGACTACAACCCCTCGCCAAGGCCGGGCCACGCGGCGTTATTCTGCTGGCTGCTACGGCTGCTAGAGCTCGTGTTCAAGGTCAGCGCTGCCGGCGAGGAGATCGTGTACATCGGGAGCACAGCCTGGGTTTCGGTGCAGGCGGCGACGCGCATCCTCCAACATCGATACGCTCAGAAGAAGCACACCCAGTCGAGCGTGGTGAGCGGGGGAGCTACTCCGCCGCACACGCGATGGAGGCAACGCGATCCAGACCAATGCTTCCCTCCTCGAGGCGGACAACCCAGCTCGAGTGTACGTGCGCCTCGAACGCGGACTTTTCGACTACAAGGTGCTAAAGCATCTACGAGCGTCTCATGCTGGAGGAGATCCTCGATTTCCTCGACAACCCCATCAAGGAAGACACTCCCGTCGAGTGTCCGATTCAACCCGAGCCAGGGCCCCTCGTGTACAGGTTCCCCGATATTAACACGAAGGGCCTGTACTTCCTACAACTGGCACCGCTGAAGAAGTTCACAGACGAATTGGGGCATTTCATATGCGGCAAGGTGGGAATGAGTGACGAAGGGGGCATGGGCCATCGTATTCAAGACGAGTCACACCATAATGATCTGGGGTACTATGGATCCGCGCAGTGTCGATGGTACCTGCCGTTTAAAGACTCGACGCCGCGGAAGAATTTTAAACAGGTCTTATGCAGGTCTGGTCTTTTTGGTCCGTAGGACCAAAACAGGACCAAAATAAAATCAACCTCGAAATGGGACCTAAAAAAGACCTACAGAAAACAAGGTTTTATAAAAACTCTATAATCAAATATTCAAACGGAAAATAAATGTATTATGTATTAATGGGGATATTGCAAATGAAAAACCATACTGGACAAAAACTTCAACCCTGCTGTCAGGTTAACTGTCAGTCATGCTAATCCGGCTTGTACTCTAGCTGCCCGGGCCGTCCGACTTGATGAACACCCCTACCCCCGCGAGTTAATAACTCAGCCAAACGATAGAGTACACACTCGGTGGATCCGTCAGCACCAACAGTCTCTCCATGGTATCAACACTGTCATACAGGCGACTCACGAGGTCGCAACACAATCACCATGGGCCCAACCAGCGCACCCAACGCAAGCGAAGCGTCCAAACGGTGCCAACTCTCGGACCAGCAAGCTTCACAGGATATCATTCAGTCTAATCAGGCCGAACGTCAGCGAGCTAACAGCAACCAAAGCATACGAGAAGAAGTCCACGCCGATCTTCGGCCCACCAGCTACCGCTATATGCACTAAGGGGCTGGTCGCGCTGGCCGGTGCTGGTTCTCGGTCTGGTGATCACTCTAGGGAAAGGTTTATGGAGACTTTTGATTGGTTAGTCAGAAATGGGAATAGGGCAATATATGTGTCACAGCGAGAACCCGGGAACCCGAGAAAGCGCCGGGTTCCCAGGTTCTCTGGGAGTCTAGCTCGCAGCCATAGCCAGTGAGCGCATTTTACAGTCACCACGCTTCTGGCCATACCAACGCAACATCATCTCGCTGCACTTGCGGCGAAGACCGTCGCCGCAAGTGTTGCTCTAGCATGTGCCTTCATGCTGCATAGAAATCCTCCGGTGAATGTGTTCACGTTTGAGGCAGCTATTGCGTTCGAGAGTATGCTAGAAGAAGAATGCTACAATGCTTGGTTCTGCCGTCATCTGCGCTGTTCGCAGGAGACGTTTCGCAAACTTTGTAGTATGCTTCGTGTCCGTTTTCCTGTCAAACCCTACAAAACGTTTAGCTTTGAAAGAGCTGCAGCTTGTACTCTATTTCATCTAGGCTCAAGTGGTTTTTTTTAGAGAAACGGTGCGGATTATAGTGGCCTGTATGGTGCTACATAATCTACTGATCAACTTTCAAGACACCGCTCCCGTTTCCGTAGGTTTAGTAAATGCCGAAGACGAAACTGAAGAGGAGGTGGGCGAGGTGCAACGTCGTAACACGCGCGATCAAAAACTCTGTTCTTGCATTGCTCAGACGATATGGCCATGCCTTGGTTGGTACTCAGCTCAGTAGCTAGCAGCAGCCACGCTTCCTTCAAGGCTGCGTTGTTTTTGGCTTTGCTAAAGCGGGCGGCGTGCGCTTCGTAGCGCAGCGACATCAAGTCGTGCACCATCACGTTGGTCCATTCGAGCGCTGTGTTAGGCTTCTTGTCAGCCGTGAGTGCCGTTCGTTTCTTGCTCGCTGTGCTTGACGATCGCTTGTCCTTCTGTTTAGCCTTGCTTCCACTGGTGACGGCGTTGTCTGCACCGCTGCCGGCCGCGGACACCGTCGGCGTGCTAGAAGCACCACCGGTAGGCTGAGATGTAGCCATGTTGTCTGCGCCAGACAAGCTGCTGTTCGCCAGCACATTACCGGTAGCAACGAGACCAGCTGCCTGACTTCCAGCGTCTTCGTACTGGAGAGCTGTGGCGGAGCTTCCGGCGCGAGCCATCATCATGCTGTGGAGGAGGCCTTGGACCTGCAGCGGGCGAGCCCAAATGTCGTTGTAGCCAATGCATTCAGCGAGCGACGGCGCTTCGGCGAGCGCCTTTAGGCCGTCAGGGTCAGGGCTACTGGGGCGGGACATGCTACACGTGGGGAGGATGTTGAGCTTGGCGGCGACAGTGCAAATGCAGGTGATGGCCACTTGCGCTATGACGGGCGAGTTGCTGACTCGGTACTACCGAGTCGGTAGCCCACAACAGGAGTCCACAACGGGTAGTCCACAACGGGTTGCACTGGCACTTGGTGAGACAAAGTGAAAGACGTGAGGGCTCGGGGCAACCGGCAATCGGCAATGGAAGACCCGCTTGAAAAGTGCATACAGCCAGTAGTTCGCCAACGCTTCACTGCCAGTGAGAACCAGCAGCCTGTCTGGGTTCCGACCCCATTGCTTACCCTATCCCTTCTCGCTGGCGCCGAGAACCAGCACCGGCCAGCGCGACCAGCCCCTAAGGGCCGTTCTTAAGTTCCCGGTCCCAAGTCCCGGGACGAAATAGAGCGACTTGATTGGCTTTCAGAAAGCGGGCTAAGTTTATTTCCGAGCTCGTTTTGTCCCGGTCCCGCATCATTTTCGCGTGGTCGGGACGTGGGACTTTCACCCTAGCTACTTCATTTCTTCACTAATACGCGCCAAGTATGCACCACTTTGTTACGTTTCGAAAGGGCTATCTGACCATGTTCTTCTTTCACTGTAGTTCGCGGTAGTTCCCGCGAGTTAGGGGCTTAAAAATGCTTACAATTATCAAGTTTGACGGACGAGGGGTATCGTCCCGTTCGTCCCGGTCCCAGCTCCCGGGAACTTAAGAACGCGTCTTAGGCTAGACCAATTGTAGTTTTCCTTAAATTGCGGTCTTAGGGACAATCGAGAAGTTCATTTTGGGTAGGAGCCGAGGCTTGAAGTACTCGTGCGAAGCAGTACTGTGAGACATTAGCCCCGTGGGATGTGGAGGGCGAGCTGCGAGCTAGCGCCCTGCTGGATGTCGATCACTGGATCACTATCTAGCTTCCTGCAGAGGTAAAGTACAAGCAAGTACTTCAAGTACCAAGTACCAAGGATCAGCGGTGCATGCATACAAGAATACATGGACGAAGAAGATAGCAGTAGATTCAGGCACAAGGACGTCTGAGCAACCCAGTTAGTTAAAGCTCATTAAGAAAGTCTAGCAATAGCGTACAGTCCGAGCAGCGTCGACGGTCCAGGGATCGACACCAGCAAGACGCTCGCTCGCAAATTCAGACATTTGGGTTTCGTATTATAATCTCCAGCTCTACTTCAATAGCGGCTGCCCTCTATAATCTATCACGACATTTTATATCAGGATGAAGGGGGTCTAAAAATGGCTTGTTTCGTAGTGATATCATTTGGGTCTCGCCATCCAAACGGGAGAAATCATACTGATTTTCTGTTCGGTCTCGGTTAGATGCCGTAGGACCAAAACAGGACCAGGCCTGCATAAAACCCGTTTAAAACCTTACCGACGCCGCATGGCACCATTAAGAATGCCGAGACAAGGCTGCTCTTCTACCTCTCACGAATGGGCCTGATGTTTCCTTTTCGAGACAAGCTAGAGCGGTTGAAGCAGGAGACGCTGCTCTTTCATCCAAGCCACATCGTCCTCATACGTCAGGCGTTCTACATGGTTGCGAAGGATTTCAAGGACGACCTCCTCGAACAACACCCGGACCCGCCCCAGGCCCGGATTAATCGAGCTACTTCGATCGCTAGGATTGCTGTAGCGCGCTATCAGGCGGACCTCGCAAGAACCGAGGCCGGCAGTATTCCCCTTCGACCGGAGGTGCTCAGACGAGATCCCACGTGAATGAGTCTGTGCGAACCATCTGGCCTACTTCACCTATCGTATCCGATTTGGAGCAGTTGGCTCACGGCCGCAGTATCTTCCGTCAGCGGTGCATAGCCGCCCTCCCAGCCCCTCATTCCCCCTCGCATACCCAAAAACCTCCGACTTTCTCCGACTCGTACACAAAACATGCGGATAGGAGGGGGGTCACCTTTAACTATCACCCAGCTACGCGCTACGCGCGAACCTAAAACCCCTAAAGGCTCGCTGCGCTCGCTGGGCCAGAACCCTAAGCCCGCTGCGGCTCGCACGCGTTGCCTCCGCTTGCTAGGTAGAGCACTGCTGGGTCCTGGGTTTGCAGCCGCGTGCTACGCACACGGACTGTCAAACCGCAGGCGGGGGCTCGCTACGCTTGCTCCATGCCATCCATCCCACGGCTCCGACCAATGAGCAAACGGGACGACTAATCTATCTTGGACTGTGTATGCATAACACTTTGGGAAGGGGTAGGGTAATATTGTTATGCTCCGACCACGCTTGACTGGGGATTTGTATACCTATCATCTTAAGTGCGGTCGGAGATTTGATGATATTCTACCATACCACGAAATCTCCGACCTCCGACGGGCTCCGACCCGCACAGAGCCAGTACAAACTAGTGTAAAGAATATGTATTTCATGTTAAGTTGTGTACGTGGATAGGTGATCTACATTGGGATGTGTTGTGCCCAGAGGGCGCGCTATAGAGCTGGTTGTAGCAAGTTTATAGCCGTAGCCACAGGCTCTAAAACGGCCTGTGGGCCGAGAAAACAGCAAAAAACAAAGCAGGCAGTTTTACAGTCGAAAAACGCCACGGAGACATGTTTTTTGCGCGCTCCAGAGCAGATTGGCAAATGAGGGGTCCACAATTTGAACAGCTTGGCCTTTTTTACAATCCTTCTTACGCGTAAATACGCCTGTCAGTGTATGGCTTACATAAACACCTACAATAAACCTCAAAGATAACGTTATTTTCAAATGGTTGGCTTCTGGGTACCGCAGAGCCTCACTCTTGATTTTTAGCTTCTAACCGACAAGTCGCCTACTCAACCAATGACCCGTGAGACCGGTTGACTACATGTTTGTATGTGTGTATGTTGTACGATATGCAGCTGCTATCGCTGTTCATGCGTGGTGTGCTAGCTTGCGTTGAGGTTCACTTTGCTGTTCCGCAAGGAGGTTAAGCTTGGTGTTCGATGCTGTACTAAATTACATGTGTGCGTACTCTGTAATGAGGTTAACTTTGCTGTTCCATTGGAGGTCAAGCTTAGTGTTCAATCGGTGCTACCACTGCATATCAATCTGCGTTAGATACCTAAGCTTGTAATACACCTGGTGTTCTCCGCTCAACATATCCTTCCGTGTTGTTTAGCGAGTTGTCTTCGACGGCCTCGTCCTCGATGAACTTCTTGCGGACCAGCAGGCGGCGCTCTTCTTCGAAGGCAGCGATGACAGCTTTGTGGATGTGCGCGCGAGGCTCCCACGTCGGCTCCCAGTTCACCAGGTAGTACGTTTTGCCCTTCACCTTCTTCCAGTTCCACAGCTCGCGCACATGGTGTTGCTTCTCGTCGTCGTCATCGGGTTCTTCGTCGTCAGCTGGAGGCGGGGCAAGCAGCCACTCGCGCACGACGTCAAGGCCCACCCGGCGCTTCTTTCGCTCGGCGAGGGCAGCGTAGATGACGTCGATGGCTTCGGGAAGCAAGCTGGCGGAGGCGACGGCAGTGTTCATGGTGAGTCGTAGATGCCGGATTGCTTGATCGCTAATGCGGATCTTGTGCGCCTTGCTTGCAGCGATACACAGGGCCTTGAACTCCTTCGCGGAGCTGACGATGTTCTTGACAGGCTTGGCGACGGGCATGGCGGCAGAATTGTGCGTGGCTGAGTGCGGAAAGCAAAGTGACAAGCGCCGTAGCGAAGTGCAAGTCCCGGTCAAGGGGCAGTGAATGGCTCGGGAAATGCAAAGGTAAATTCATGCGTAATTACGTGCTGACTATTTCCCCAAGGAGGTTGGTAGTGTGAGCAGGTGCAGGGTCAACGATGCGACCAGCAGCTTGAAGCTGATTGTAGCGGCGAACGAAAGCGTTGAGATGGCCAGCCCTGTAAAGCTTGCGCATGGGCTTGAGAACGTTCTGGGCTCCGCGGGCTTTGATATCATGACCCTGCAGAAACGATAGCAGCTCCTTCTCGACGGCAGCTCCAAGCTTCAATACATCGTCTCGGTACTGCGGGGACTTCACGTCAAGCTCAAAACCTTCAGCGAGGAAGATCTTCAAGAACGCGACGATCAGCTTGGTGTTCGACCTCGTCTGTTTCGTCGCCGCGTCGGTCGAGCTCCAGATGCGTGGGTCTTGAGCGTACCACGAGAACCAGGCATCTTTCAGGCTGGTAGCTCCAGAGGTACGTCGTCGTTTGGTCGGTGGTTCACTGTTGCCAGCTTCCTCACTCGCTTCATCTTCTTGTGCTCGCTTCTTCTTGTTGTAGATCGTCGCTTCCATCAGCGTCAACCGGGTGTCGAGCTTCTGGTTGACATGAATTAACTGTTCAATCAAGACAGCTTGATGAAGAAACATGGGGTGCTTGGTGATGTCAGCTACAGCGTCGGTAGTCTTGATGCTTTCCGGTTTGGTGCTTGAGGTTGTGTCACAGGCCAGGTGCGACGACCATGCGAGCAGCTCACTGACACAGAAGGCTTTTTCCCTCGCGCAAGCTTCCATGCGCTGTACAGCCAGGCCGTCCGGAGCAAGATACTTCAACCCCGGATAGTGGCGCAACAGGTATGCCATCAGTGTGTCGACTACCCGTGCATTCACGTTGTACTGTGCAGTATGCAGCCCAGACGAAGAGACGAAGAGCGACGAGGCAACCGAGCGAAGTCTTGCCTGTGTGTCGGAGTCGAATGTGTCCAGAGAGAGAAGAGGAACGGTGGCGTCCGGGTCGCGGCTGCTCAAGACTCGAGCGACCTTGTGGTCTTTCGACGGTGTGTTGAAAACGTAGGCGAACGCTTTGTTTGTCGCTGTCATGTTCCAGGCTCCTCGGTCGAAGATCCACTGCACGCACATGCCCGCTCCGTTGGCGTGCTGTGCCCCTCCTCGTCGGAAGGAGTGAGACGTTAGACGCTCCGAGACCCCGGCCGGCTTCACAACTCTATCAAGAACGCGATTGACGTAGCTGTGGATACCGGGCGCCGATTCGGGCGACTTATCTTCATCGGTCCGCTTGGCCTCGGCTTGGCGCAGGAGCACGGTCTCCGGGTGATCCATCAAGTCGATGAGCGGTGTGGCTGGCGTAAGCGCGGTTTGTGAAGCCCCGTGTTGCTCCGGAAGCTGGCTCAGCAGCGATGCTCTCGGTGACGACTGGGTCACTAACGCAAGCGCGATTACGAGGAGCGGGCAGGTGGCAAAGTCGTCGTCAGGGAAGAGTGAGAGTCCTTGCTCTTCAGAGGTCTTGACGCGAATGAAGCGCACGAAGGAGACATCACCTGAGCCGATGGAAAGATTCGCCTTGCGGAGCAGCGTGAGGTCCGACGCACGCCCGAAGAGAAACCAGAGCAAGCACAGCAGAGGTGCATCTTGGTAGTCGGCAGTTGTAACCGCGGTGGAATAGAGATGCATCATCATTTGCTTCAACGCCTTCTTCGTGCATGCTGGAGCCTTGTTGACGAAAGCTCCCGACTCGCGCTTCATGCAGTAGCGCTCAAGAACCTGTCCTTTCTTGAGCAGCACCTTGTCCACTGCCTCGCGGTGCTGAGGGAACAGTTCCAGCAGCCAGTTCTTGGCCTAGCGGAAGTACTGCATGACCGAGTGGCGGGCCAACAGCTGCCCCTTGCGGCCCTCCTTGAACGCGAGGTACATGCCAAACTTGTCGACGACAGCCTCTAGCACGAGCGGGGCGCTTTCACGCTGCATACAGACTTCCAGGTAATCCCAGCGGACGCCTTCCTCTTCGAGGAACTTCATGAAGGAACGTGCTGCGCTCTCGCGAGCGCGCTTCGTGTTGGCCGGGGCGAGGTCTTTCAGGCTCATCTGGAGGCGGAGGTGTCGGAGCTTGGGTGTTATTCGAGAAATATGTGAATGACTTGCACTTCGTAGGGGGATATCAATAACTTTGTTGGGCCCTCCGACTCGATACGTCGGAGCTGTGGCTGTGATGTACCCAGGAATCAGGAAGGTCCGTGATTGACTAAAATTACTGTGATTCAAGGGATTTGATTCGCTGAAATCATCATATTTGCAAAAGCATTCATTTCATTGGTTGGTTCTTTATATAGTGAAATCAAGTAAAGTCGGAGCTTTGATGTTATTCATCCATACCCGCCCGACCTTCGAGCTCTGAAGCTGTAGCTCGCGAGCGATGCCCAAACCCCCCACCCCGCCGCAGGAGCAGGACGTCCTGTCCATCAAGGACGGCCACTTCGTGGACCAGCACGGGCGCGTCGCGCTGCTGCGTGGCGTGAACCTGGGCGGCTCCTCCAAGCTGCCGTTCGGCTACGGCCACACGGACGACCAGGACACGAGCGACTTCTTCGACGGCGCGGCCTCCGTGTCGTTCGTGGGGCGCCCGTTCCCCCTGGAGGAGGCGGACCTGCACTTGTCCCGCCTGCAGCGCTGGGGCCTGACGTTCCTGCGCTTCATCGTCACGTGGGAGGCCATCGAGCACGCCGGCCCCGGCCAGATCGACCACGAGTACCTCAAGTACATCCGCGCAGTGGTGGAGAAGGCGGCCGAGTACAACATGCAGGTGTACATCGACCCGCACCAGGACGTCTGGTCCCGCTGGACGGGGGGCGACGGCGCCCCCATGTGGACGCTGGAGTGCATCGGCTTCGAGCCGCGCAACTTCGAGCCGACCAAGGCGGCGCTGTGCCTCGAGACGTGCGGCCTGCCGGCGTCCAAGTTCCCCAAGATGATCTGGCCCACCAACTACGGCAAGCTGGCGTGCGTCACCATGTTCACGCTCTTCTGGGCCGGCAAGAAGTACGCGCCCAAGTGCTACGTGGACGGCGTGCAGATCCAGGAGTACCTGCAGTCGCACTACTTGGACTCGATGGTGGCGCTGGCCAACGCGCTGAAGGGGCTGACGAACGTCGTGGGATTCGGCACGATGAACGAGCCCTCGAGTGGGTTTATCGGCGTTAAGGACCTGGCCAAGCCCGTTGGCATCTTCCAGAATGGCTACGCGCCGACTGGGATCCAGGGCATGGCTCTGGGCGAAGGTGTCGCTCAGGATGTGGACGTGTGGAACGCGGGCATCATGACGATGATTCGTGGCAAGCCGTCGAGGATGGAGACCGTGGACCCCAAGGGCGTGCGCGCCTGGAAGGAGGGCTTCGGATGTGTGTGGAAGGAGGCGGGGGTGTGGAGCTTGGACGCTGAAGGCCAGCCTCAGCTGCTCAAGCCCGACTACTTCGCTGGAGTTGACTTCGGCAAGGAGTTCTACCTGCCGTTCGCCAAGAAGTTCACCAAGAGACTGCAGAGCGTCTTCCCCAACGCGATGATCTTCGTGGAGATGCCGCCCGTGGATTTCGGAGACATGGAGTTCCCGGAGATCACCAGCGAGGACATCCCCAACGCTGTGAACGCCATGCACTGGTACGATGCCATCACGCTCGTCACCACAACGTGGCGCTCGTACTTCACGGTGGACTTCACCACGGGCAAGCCTGCGTTCGGCAACAAGGCGCTGCGCAAGCTGCACCAGCAGCAACTGGCCCATGTCGCCAGCTTTGGCCGCAAGAAGATGGGCAACGCCCCCACGCTCATCGGCGAGACGGGCATCCCGTACAACATGAACGACGCGCGCGCCTACATCAGCGGAGACTACTCGGCGCAGATCGAGGCCATGGACAACACCATCTCCAACTTGGAGTCGCAGCTGCTGTCGTACACGCTGTGGAACTACACGGCCGACAACTCGCACGAGTTTGGCGACCTGTGGAACCTCGAGGACTTGAGTATTAGCAGCCCAGACTCGGAGAAACTGGCGATTCGCCTTGCTGGCGGACACACGCGTCGACGTGATGACCCGGCTCGGGGACTGAAGGGCTTTGCGCGCCCGCACCCGCGTAGAATTACCGGCACTCCCCTCAAGTCGGAGTTCACTATGGCCACGGCCGAGTACATTCTCGAGTACGTGTCGGTGAACACGGAGGCGACGGCGCCCACGGAGATTTACGTGCCGTATGTGCACTACCCAGGAGGCTACCGCGTCACGTCTTCAGATGGCCACTGCACGATCGAGAAGCGCGAGAGCTACGACATTGTCAAGTACGCGCACGACGTCAAGGCCCACAAGCACCGCGTGATTATCGCTCCGCGAACGCCCGTTGGTAGTGACTCGAAGCGCGCCAACGCGCCGCTGTACCTTGCTCTGGCCGTCACTGCCGTCGCTGTCCCGCTACTTACCCTGTACAAGCGTAGATAAACGAAGCTCAACGAGGACAATTACGGAGCTGCGCATATGCGCAGGTATACATGGAACGATCCATAGTAAAAAGCAAATTGTTTCAAGCATATGATCGAGCAGGTAGTTCTGTTTCGCGGATGATATGTGGAATTGTTATTGGACGCGTTCAATCCTCCCTAGTTGGAAATTCCATGACGGTCTTCTACGACGATTTTCACACCGCTCCATACGCAGCATTTCGGCGCCGATCATGATATGTAGTCACCATCTGCACCTGAGGCACCACTGCGCGGCACAAACTACAGTACGAGCAAGTAAATTAGCAACGGTGGGCCGTTCCGACAAAGCAAACGAAGCACTTACCTCCACGAAGAAGTCCTTGGATGGTGTCAATAAACAGCACTATAGCGAATGTGGGCGCTAGGACCCCAGCAACAGTCTGCAACATCTCAAATGTCTCCTTTGCAAGACCCGCAATTAACCAAGTAGCGACCCAAGCCACGACTGGATCTCGACTTGCAATGCACAGAGCGACAGCCACCGCAATCAAAATCCCCAGCAGAAGCGCGTAGACATCGAAGCTGAAGTATTTCCCGTGGGAAAACTGTACCATGTCGAGCACGGAAAAGACCGTTGCTGCAGTAAGCCATGCGAACCACAGACGCTGCGATATCTTGTCCAGCGCCAACTTAATCGCACCGATGGCGTTCTCGGGGGACGGGGAACTTTGCTCGTATCCGTCGACTAAAAGCTCATTCAGGCACATCAGTACTAGCGCGACCGGAGTCAGGTACAGACGGCGGCTGCCTGAGAGCATGAAGCACAGCAACAGAAGGAGAATAGCTGCATCGGCGACGAACGTAAGCAGCGACAACAGGAAAGCCAAAACCTGGATAGTCGAATAATGCGCGCCTCGGTGATATATGCTGACGCCTGAACACGATGTCAGTGCTTGCAACGAGGAAAACGAAGACGCAGAATATGTAGCTTGGTGGAGCCAGCAGGTTGTGCATGTCGTGGTTATGGGTCTCGTAGAGCGCCGCATACCAGGGAGCAAGAGCGAACGCCACAGCGCAATAGAGGTGCGGGGCCACGCCGAGGAAAAAGGCGATCGCTTCTGATGTAATCCATGCCATGCTGGAGGCCGAATTGATTCAAGCAATGAAATAATTGAGAAAAGTGATGGAATTCGATTAATTCTTGTAAGGTGATGGCCCAGGCAAAGCTGGAGCTTAGGTCAACGAACTGAAGCGTTAATTCGTGTAGATGATGACTTAAATCGTTTTAACTAAGACAATTACAATGCAAAAGATGTGTTCAATCATCCTATCACTAGTTGATTCGCGAGGTTCCCACTCCGTTGCTGCATCATTCAGCTAGTCAGTCGTCCACGACCATGTTTTCTGCCTCATCAGGTTTATCATCGTCGACATCCATGGTCTTCTCTTCGTTCTGCACAGCAGCTAGCCCCTTCTCATTAATGAGCTCCTGCATGTGTGCGGCAAAATCGTCTAGCAACACTGGCCACGCTCCGTTCTCGTCGTAGTTGCTTAGGTCTGGCTTAATCTGGTGGCCGAAGTCCAGCACCTGCAGCCACAAGTCTTTCGATACAACGCTACGCGAGTTCTTGCGGACATACTGCAGCCAGTGACGGCGCCAGTGGAAGTGTCCAGGGAGCAGCAGATCCCAGAGCCCCACGGCCAGCTCCAGTGCCAAACTCTTTTGTGTTGGGTCTTTCGAGAAGCCAAACGTGAACTAAACACAGCACGATAACAGCCAACAACAGTCAGCAAACACCACATGCCACATGGATACACCTCCTCGACCGAGCACTGACCGAATAAATAGTGGCGAACTGCGCACGATCACGCATCTGGTTTCGCAATGTCGGGATTGCGGCACGCAGGTCCTCGATCGAGTGGCAGTGCAGCTTGAGCATTCCGCGTCGAAACTCGGTGCGCGTGTAGACGCCCATCATCTCCGACTCCATCGCACAGCTCAGCGCCAACATCACGGGGTCCTGGGAGTCAATTTCCAGTGCCTCACACAGCGCAAAGATGCCTTCCTCCGTAATTGAAGCCTCGTCCGCCTCCGGATCTGCAAAATACAATAACATAAATAAAATCGGCTTAATAACCTCTCAATATCTTCATCCACAGCAGCTTTTGGTACCTTGGAAACGCGCAAACAACGCGTCAATGGCCTGGTTGTCCTCCCGGTCGTTCTTCTGCTTCTTGTTGCTGCCTCCGTACTGCAATAAATCGCACCAAAATTCAGTCAACCACCCCCCAGATGTCATCTAAATCCTTCACAGCCCGCTCACATGGTCGGTGGAGCCTCTCTTGGCGCCGCTGTAGACCCCGTGGTGTCCGTTGCTGATGCCGAGCTTGGCCATCTTGGCCACGTCCGCCTGGTACATGGCGTTGGCCTTTATCCGCTCCACCAGCTCCGCCTTGCGCCCGCTTGTGCGGATGCCTGGCCAACACAATAACGCAATGCAACAGAGTGAGCGAGTGAGATCTGAACCTGTGTAAACCGATACGGCGCTGGCACACACACCGAAGTTGCGGCAGATCTCCGTGAGCTCCTTCACACGCAGACGCGCGAGATCCTCCATGGCTGGCTGCGTGGCTGGCTAAACTGGTTGGCTGCGGGTGGGCGCGGCAGCGAGAGACTGCACTGAAGAGGCTGCTAAAGAGCGGGAAGAGGAGCACGCAGAGGTTAGAGGCGGAAGAGCTGCGCAGGAGCGAGTGATGCCATCACCTTTCACCTTCGACCAGCGTTCAGAAAAACAAATATTTGCTTGTGTGATGAATAATGTCAGTTTTTGAAAGAAAATGATTTTCATAGAACTTAACGTCTATTGACCGTAACAACAAGACCGAGTTTCGTGGCGAACATAAATATGTAACCTATTGTAGGTTAAGGTGTAGCCACACCATGAGGAGCGCTTCTTCTGTAGCCTCTTGAGTAGCCACTGCATCAGCTACAATATAGCGGTTATCCCGGCTGTAGCCGGCTTCGTAGGAACCGATGAGGTTGTGCGCTGACTCCGCAATCGATCTGCCAATCGGGCCACACGCGAGAGCTCATAGCGTCGTCTGGGTCGGATCACCAGGTCTGGTAATCAACATCGCAACGTAGAATCAATATACCACTAGTACAATGTTACAGAGCAAAGTACACGCTCTCGCTTACCTGTAGATCACAATGGCGCTCATCATGATCGTCTTCGGCCATGGTCCTTGGCCACTTCGGCGCGCTCGACGGGCCCCAACAAAGCTTGCATTGCGACGTCTTGAACAGCGCAGTTTCGGAATGAAGGAAAGTACGAGTGGCTGACACGCGGCGGTTTTAGGCTTCCACCCGAATTTTCAAACCTGTTGGTGGTTTATACTCGTCCGTCTATTACCGCGGAATAAACCCCGTTTATCTTCCCATCGCTAATCTAACAGGAAGATGTGCACAATACCGGCTATACAAACATCCATATGCGAAGTTCGAAAGAGAGGACAAGTTTGCTGGATATTATGTCATGTGACAATGCTTATTCTGTAGGATACAGAATACGGGGTTAGAGGGGTTAACGAGGGATCCACCATTCATGTAGATGGAACAGACCGCCCAAGGAAACGGCCAAATCCGTCGGAAGTGCGGATGCGGGTTTCAGTTACGAGTACGGAGCCGAAGGAGTCGTTTTAGTGGCCTGTGCACATATGACGCCTACATGTATTGTTACCGTTGGGACAACAAAGTGGAAACAAGCGTGTTCTTAGGCGGGAAATGTGTAGTGGTAGCTTTAAGCGGGCTTATTTAGGTCGCAAGGTTATTGGGTCTGTTGGCCGTGGAGGTACCAGTTGGACTCGGGTGTGGTGATCCACACTGCCTCTTCGAGCGTCAAGGAGGCCCGCCAATCAGCGACGGAGGAGGTCACGTTGTCAGGGGAGGGGGAGAACAATCAATCGGCTGCGGAAGAGAACATCCAATCGGTGGCGGAGAAGGAGGGTCAATCGGCGCGGAGGAGAACTACCAATTGGTGGCGGTGGCTGATGGTAAATGTAACGGGGTTACATGGAATAGTGACCCTGTCACTATTCCGGGATGGCTACATCGGTCACTCCCCTGGATAGTGACTCAGAGCCAACAGATACATTTTGTATGACACAAACTATAGGAAACTTAGGATTTGTATGCAGGCCAAATCTGTACCAACCTATAAATACATTCAGTCTTAGATCTACCGCTTTTCAAGTCAAGTCGTCCCCTTCAGACCAGGGACACGTGAACGGCTGTTCACTTGGAGTTTGTATACTCCTGCTTCCTCTGTTAAGAAGTGCTGTGTGCCCCGTCACACTTGGTAGCACTTGTTGTCAATCCTACGCCTTCGCGGGTAGATTGGACTACCTGAATCCTCTGTGGTCTCATCGAGTGAGCCAAGATGGATCGTACGGAGTTTCCCCATCTGAACGACTGGCAGTACGAGTCCGTTCGTAAGATGACAGGCATCTTTGGGACAGATGCCCTGCGTAGCTTAGCGGCGGCGACGCCGGCCGAGCGGGTTGAGCGTATCAACGCGTTCGACACCTACGAGCGAGGGCTCATCGCCCACGTTCAAGGGCTGCAGGCCACTGCGGCCGCGCCGAAGCCGGTGCAACCGAAGCCCCTGCGGCTGAAGGTTCACCCCTTCGAAGGGAAGGAAGGAGAAAACCTTCACTTCTGGGTTCGAGAGGTTGAGCTCGCGATGGACGCGGCTCTCGTCTCGGACGAGCGACTCCGTGTCGCCTTTGCGCTCTCTAACCTTAGTGGTCGCGCTAAGAGTTGGGCGTATACGCGCGAAGCGACGACGCCTGGATGCTTCGCATCATGGTCCCAGCTGTGCGAGCAGCTGCGGGCCGCGTTTCTTCCGGCGAACTACGAGTACCGCCAGCGTTCGCGCTTCCTCGCCTGCAAACAAGGAAGGCGCGAGCTGCATGAGTACATCCAGGAGATGCGAGTGCTCACTGCCTCTTTGGTGGGGAACCCCCTGCCTGAACACATCAAGGTGACCGTGTTCATGGACGGTCTGCGTGTCGGTCCTGCCCGCACGCAACTGTTCCGTGTGCAAGCAAACACTATGGAGGAGGCGATTCAGATCGCCCTCCAGGAGGAGTACAGCCACAAGCAGGCTCGTACCCCCGCCACGGTATGGCAGAGCAACCCTGCCTCTGGCGATGCGCCTAATGGTAACTCCGGCAATGGAGCGATCAACGGGCCGGTTCCCATGGATCTGGGCATGGACGAGCAGAGCGGCATTCGCTGCTACGGCTGTGGCAAGCTTGGGCACATGAAACGTGCTTGTCCCGCGGGAGGACTGAAGAAGAGGTTCTCTTCGAAGTCCTTTGGCTCTAGGGGTCGCTGGCAGAAGCCGCGCCCCAGGAACCAGGGGGAACGCCGGACATCAGTAGGGGCGGGGCGCCCTACTGGGGAAACACTAGGTCTTCATGAGGGGCGTGCGGGTGGCGCACGCCATGGGGACGTAGCCCCTGAGAGTCTCTGTACTCTCGAAGCGGAGAAGGGCAGCGGTGGGCTGCTTGTGGTGCACGCGAGTGTACCGGGATACGATCATCCCTTGAGAATCTTGATCGACTCTGGGGCGTCCAAGAACTTTGCGCGCCGCCAGACTGTCGCACGCAATCGCGACAAGTACGCCGATGCGCTACGAGGCAGCAAAGGCAACGGGCTGGTCTCGGTAAGACTGGCCGACGGTACGGTGGTAGAAGTACCTCGGGTCCACATGGACCTCACTGTCAAGTTCGAGGACTTCGACAGCACGGAGCCGTTCTTGGTCCTAGACATGGACAAGTACGACTTGATCCTTGGTATGCCGTGGCTGGAGAAACACGAGCCTTGGATCGACTGGCGCGGCAAGGCCATCGGGGCCAGCCGTCTCCCACGCTCTGACAGAGCTTTGGTGAGTCATGTTCCCACCTCTGGCAGCAGCGGGGGCGCCCGCGAGGGCCGCCAGGGCGCAGCAGCGTCTAATGAGTTCTTGGGGCCCGTCGAGACTGACGACGACTCCGACCGGGCCGGACAAGGCCTGAGAGTGGAGGTGCCGGACAGCACCTACCAGGTGGGTAACGTAGGTCCACACGCGGGTAACGAAGTACCGCAGACAGCAAGGGCTGCTGGAGAAGGCGCCGCTGGCGTTGGCGTGGGTAACCAAGTTCCACGCGAGGTCACTCAGACCGTAACTGATGAGGAAGGCACTGCAGGAGCTTCCGATGTGGGTAACATAGTTCCACAGGAGGTCACTCAGACCATAACTGATGCGGGAGTCGCTGGAAGCGCTCCTGGTGTGGGTAACCAAGTTCCACACGGCGAGGTGGGTAACATAGTTCCACCCAGCAAGGCGGGTAACCAAGTTCCGCTCAAGAACAAGGCGGGTAACGTAGTTCCGCACGAGATCGAGAAGATCGGTGGTGCCGTCAAGGCGGCGCCACGAGACGAAGACACCCGAGGGTCACGTCGTAAGCCGGGCCTAGTCGTGTGGCCGACGACGCCAGTCGCCAGCGACTCCGAGCCTCCAGCCAAGTCTCCAGCCGACGAAGAGTGTTATCACATCTTCGACGGCGTGACCGGTCGTCGGGTCAAGACAGGAGCTGTCGAGCTTACAGCTCTGCCCGAGGTTTCAGAGTTGCTGAACCTTGAGGAGCTCGCCATGGAGGACTTCTTGGCCGAGCTAAAGGCCGGGGAGATCGCCGAGTTGGTTCTCCTCCGACCGGAGTCCACGTCGGCCGAGTTGAACTCGTCCTCGGTCATGACCAGGAAGTCCTGGAGGAGTTCCAGAGACAGCGCGCGTCGCGCATGGGCTCTGAGATTCTTAAGAACCCCCGGGACCCGGTGTACCCCTTGGTGAAGGAGTTCGAGGACGTGGTGTCCAAGGATCCACCATCCAATCTCCCTCCGGACAGGGGAATCAGGCACGAGATCGATCTCGTGCCGGGCACGAAGTACTGTGTCACGAGGCAATGGCCTCTTCCCCAGGAGCAGTGTGAAGTCATTGATGCCTTCTTTGCCGCCAAGGCGAAGGCAGGCATGGTGCGGGAGTCGAAGTCCCCGCACTCGACGCCTACCTTC